GGCTGATACAGCTTCGCGGGCTCCCCGTCTTGCATGCCTACAAAGATCACCGCGCAGAAGGCACCCCAGTGCCTCGGTTTCTGGGCGGCGGTCGGTTTAATTGGTGTCAAAATAGGGAGAAGGACCCAAACCAAATGTGGTTGTTCTTTTGCCTTCACTTTACACTTTACACCAACTTAGGCTGAAAATGGGTACGGTCAAAACAAACACCCACCCACGCACGCACGCACGCTGTGCGCCGGACGCCGCAAGGCCAAAAGGCCAAAAGGCAAGCCCGTGGGTTGGGGCACAACCAGCCGGGGTGGCGGTTTCTTTGGGGGGTTGATTTCCCCATAAAGAGGCCAACACAAGGTCCAACAAAAATAACCAAGACAAAGCACCGACACACAACTGCAAGGACAATTGGTCAAAAGATGGACCGCTGAGCTCCCGCGCACAATGAAGAGGATGAGGCACAGGAGGTCTGTGCAATGCCGATTCTTCACTGGGCCCCCAGAGATATCCTTGTCGCCGCCCTGGGGCGAGGTGAGAGAGGTCGCGCCCGCAACCCGCCGCGCCCGCTTCACCCGGCGGAAAAGCGGCCGATTCCTTCCCCTCCCAGTTGTCAGCGGGAAAGCGATCCTTGAACGGAATATGATTGTCATGGGTCGTGGGGGCGCTTGTTTTTGGGAAGGGATTTGTTTGAAGGGAACCTTGTGTGCACCGTGCTTGTAGCCGGGCAAGAGTAGTGATTAGCCTTTATCCCGATTCACAGCTCACCTTAAACCCTTGAGAGACCATGGGCCGACCATGGGTACTGAAAGATCAAGGAGGTGTTGCTCACTTCCGGATAAAGGAAAAGCAACTCGCAGGAATCCCTAGAATGACAGATTGCCCCGCACTTCTTGGGGTTCTCCAAGTCGATGGGAGATCATTCAGCCAATAAGAAGTCCCTAGAACCTGACCATGGCCATTCAACGTGGTGTCGGATGCTGTGGCGGACAACGGGGTACATATAAAAACGAAGAAAAAACAACTGCGGCGATTTGTGCGGCCGCTTTGAAGTTGCAAAAAGGCTCCAATCATCTCTACCCCCACCTGTCTATTACCTCTCTCACCTAACAAAGAATCCGGAAGAATGGAAGACAGGTAGATGAAGGAAAGGCAAGCTCTTGAGATCTTTTATTTATTGCTTGCCTCACTCGTCTGCCAGCTAAACAAGTGAACCCATGAGCTGGCAAGGAATGAGTGATAGAGATATGACTGGTGGGTGGAAAGGCCAATTCTCTTCTTATCAAGCCTTTCCCACAGTCATATCATATCCATTTCTTGCAATCTCTTGCCTCGGACCGAAGGGAACAAATGGGGCAAGAGACTGACCAGCCAATTCACTCGCTTCTTGGCTGGACACGCTTCCAAAGTAAAAGAGAAGCGTGGGACCCGTCCAGACGAAGAGATGGGACGGGTGGAGGGAGGTGGGAGAAAGAGATTCATGTGACCCACCTCCTCACTCATATCTATCTCATATACTCGGCCTCCAATCACTTTGCTCTTGACCGAGGATGAGATATAGATGTGGTTGGCAAGTTTATTTCCAATATGAATCTCAGGCTTGCCCGCAAACAGTTTGTAGTGGCTGTCCTTTGATGAATATCGCCTCCAATGAGATCTGCGTGCGGACGATTTGTCTCCAAAGGCCCGGCCTTGGCAAATTTCTGCTCCGTCTTTTCGTCATCCTGGCCACTGCATCCACCGAAAGAGGTGGGGCTGCTGCCATGGGAGTAGTGTTCCCGCAGTAATGGGCAACCAAAAAAATCCATGAAAAACACTAGAGCTCACCCTGGTTACCTACAGCGGCAACTAGCACTTCGAGTGCCTGGAGTGCAAATGAGCACTCCAAAAGTGCCTCGAGCTGTGCCCTCAAGCTGGATGCCCGGGTGCGCGGTCACCAACCGAGATTTTGTGCGCCGGGAATTCACTCATGTTAGGCACTTGTGGCGGCTTTGGGAGCCTTTGGGAGAGGATCCTCGGGCGATCTTTGCCGACTCGGGCGATGCATCTGTCGTGACGGCTTAGCATCGCCGCAGGCTGGACGTGGAACTGCGGCTTGTGGCGAGCTGTTGCACTCGCCTTGCTTGGCTATGAACTTTCATAGGGAATCACCTAAATGGTATCCAGCAAAGGGCACCTAATTCAATAGTCATGTCCACTTGGGTCTGTTTCTTTTTGAGGGTACCCCAGGTTTTGGTGGTTTAAATGGGAAAACAAAAGGAAAACCGAAGACAGTTTGGGGGGTCCCATTACTAAAAACGACGAGCCACCGAGTTCGCTTTTGACAACTTCAAAAGTATCAAGTTGGTACGAACGGCTGCTCCATCACTCGACTTGATCTTTTTAGGAATGCCTGACTGGAATTTCCGACGAGTATTAGGCCGTCAATAGCTGTGCTTAGACATCCGATGGCGTTGAACTCCTTGGATTAGGCCGTTGGGATTCCTCGCTCCTCGGTTCTTTGTGCTTGTTCAATTGAGTTCACTTTCTGTTGAAGCACTCTGAGCAGTTCGGCCACGTGCGGAATTTGCGCATCATGGCCGACCTGAGGATGTTATGATAGACTTCAATCGCTGCACAGGTTCCATCAAGTTTTGTCGAACAAGAAAAACCGTCCGCCAGGATGGGGCCTTTCCAGTGTACTCATGTTTGGTGCAAAAAGCAACAACTGTAGTTCAAGATCTCATTGCAAAAGGTACACTCAGTCAACAGGTTGCTCATACAAATTGCTGCTGAAGGAAAACAATGTGGTCGTAGCCGTGGCTGATGCGTATCACGGAGTGCGCAAGCATGGAAGAGTGTTTCTTGGCTTGAGCAAGTGCTGGTCATGCTGAGCCGGCTTCATTTGCGCTCGAACCGTTGGGGAACCGTAGCCAATCAATCCTATTGCGCTGCACCCCTATCAGTGAGAGCCTGGGCGCGGCAGTTCTTATGCCGAGGCTTGCACTTGCGCAGTCGCTTAGAGGGTTGCCTACAGCAGTCTTTGCGCACTTGAGAAGAGCTCTCGAGCAGATTTGATCCCAGCACACACCACGAATGGCACTCCAACACCTACTCGTGCACGTTGGCAAACCGATCCCGCAGAGCGTGGATGTGCCAGAAACAAATGCGCGGGGAAATGCTGGTCACTTTTCCTGTAGGTGTTTCATTGTTCCCCCTGGTTACCAGTCTGATACCAGGAATTAGTGGTTGGGTTGTCTCAAAATCGGGTCTGTTGGGTTCCCCTCAAAAAAGGCAACCAAGGGGACGGGGGAGAGAAAGGGACCCCCTTTCATCTGCTCAGGCCTCCTTGCTGGAGCAGCAGCAGCAAAAAATGGCGCCCATGACCACCTCCGGGGCCCTTTGGGGCCCCTCTTGTGACCTGGGCACTCTCGCGAGCGTGGCTGCCGTCTCATTTGGCACCCCACATCTGTTTGAGCCCACAAATATATATATATATATACACAGTTTGTATATATGCATGCATATATATATATATACATATCTATTTATTTATATACACGAACTTCTACATACATACATATATGTTCCATATGTTCCAGGCCGTGGACCCCCCCCCCCTCCCCCCCCCAACCGGGTGGGTGGGTGGTGGGGTGGTGGTGGGGTGGTGGGGTGGTGGTTGGGTGGTTGGGTGGTTGGGCCAACCCCCCCCCCTGTGGGGGTGGGGTGGGTGGTGGGGTGGTGGGGTGGTGGGGTGGTGGGGTGGTTGGGTGGTTGGGTGGTTGGGTGGTTGGGTGGTTGGGTGGTTGGGGTGTGGTTCGGAGTTGGTTTAGGCTTGGTGGGTTGCAGGGTGGTTTGGTTTAGGGTAGGATGTTGCGAGAGGTGCGGGGGTGTTGGTTCACGGTACTGGACAGCATCCCCAGCATTGCCAGCATCATCCCCAAGATGCGGATGATGCGGGGGAGTGGGGGCACCATACCATTGGGGGGGGGGGGGTACGTGGCCCAGGGACTGGTACATATATATATATATATACATATACTGGTATATATGTATATCTGTATATATGTATATATATGTATATATGTACATATGTAAATATGTACATATGTAAAAATGTATATATGTAGATATGTATATATGTATATATGTTTATATGTGTATGTATATGTGTATATGTGTATATGTGTATATATGTATATATGTATATATGTATATATGTATATATGTATATATGTATCTATGTCTATATGTATATATGTCTATATGCATATGTATATACATATATATATATACATATATATATATATACATACATACATACATACATACATGTATATATATATGGATGTGTGTGCATATGTATATCCATATAGACATATATGCATATATATATAGTACCCCCAAAACAGAACAAAAATCTAGTTTGTATTTTATTTTTTTTGTATTTTGTTTTTGTTTTTTTTTTTTTGGGGGGGGGGGGGATGACTCAGCACACTGGCACATCATGCATACACAGTTGCAAAAACCCTGCAAAAATGCATGGTTTACCATTTATGCAGTGAGCATAAAACTTCAACCATATGCATTTTACCTGCACCAAATGCGTGTTTTTGTGGATCTATGTTGGTAGTAAAAATGAACAAATCCAAAGTAACAGCGACCAAGCAAAGTAAAAAGTAAAACAGTAAAAACAGTTTAAAACAACAAAAACAAAAAGGAATAAAAGGGTAAAACAGTAAAAAAAAAAAAACATGAAAAGTAAAAAAGTAAAACCGCCAAAAGTAAAACAGACTGTGTTTTTTACTTTATTGGGGTGTTTTAATTTAAGGGGAAAAAGTAAAAAAGACTAGGGGTTCTTTTACTTTATTTGGGGAAAAGTAATTAAAAAAAAGGTGGTTTTACTTTTATTGGGAAACGGTAAAAAGACTAGGGTCTTTTTACTTTTGGCGGTTGTATTTTTTTACTTTTCATGGGTTCAGATATTTTACTGCTTTACTGTTTTACTGTTTTACTTTACTTTTTTCTTGATAACTTTTTTACGTTTTTACTTGTTTACTTTTTTACTTTGCTTGGTTTCTGTTACTTTGCATTTCTTCACTTTTACTACCAACATAGAAAAAGCATCGGTTGTCCAGGGTGGTTGCTCTAGTCTCTACAAAACACGCATTTGGTGCAGGTAAATGCATGTTTTTGAAGTGTTATGCTCACTGCATAAATGGTAAAACATGCATGTTTCAGCGTTTTTGCAACTTTTTATGCATCATTTCCCAGTGTGCTGAGTTCACCACATGAAAATATATTCTAAACAAAAGAGCATCAGGTGCATCTGCAAACAAGAGAAAAAGTAAAACCGCCCTGCACAAACTAAAACGGTTTTACTTTTGGCGGTTTTACTTTTACTTGTCATGGTGTTTTTACTTTTACAGTGGAAGAGTAAAAACGTAAAACTGCATTGAAGTAACAAACGGTTTACTTTGGGATTTGTACTTTTTACTTTTCACGGGCCCAAAGTTTTACTCAAGATTCTCGAAACACTTTTCTGTGAAGTCTGAAATCTTGAATCTTGAATCCAGTGCGTTCAAGTTTTTGGAAATCACATATTTTGGGGTGGCCCGGATTCAAGATTCTCGGAAAACGTTTCCGTAAAATGTTGAATCTTCAATCTTCAATCGAGTGGTAGAATGCGTTCAAGTTTTGAGCGAAGAAGGTAGAAAAGGCAGAAGCAATGCTCAAAACCACTGTATGTTACAGTATGTTTTAAGAGGCGCAGGTTCATGGGGGATACCATATGTATGTATATATGTATACTCACACCTCCCCACGAACTACCTTTCCCACATCTGCTCATCTACTACCTTTTGAGATAGAATGACACGTGTTTTCCTGTCCAAATAAGACTTTAAATGCAACTAAGGTAACTTGAATTGCTGTTTTGATATATATATATATATATATATTAGATTTTGGACCTTTGATGCCTCTAGAATCTGGAGATCTGAATCCTTAACATGTCTATCTTTGGGCCCCCGAAGCCTCACAATTTGGAGCCCGGAACCCTCCAACATGTCCAAATATGAATTCCTTTCCCGATAGGATTGTAATTCAAATCGAGTTGAAATGTTGAATAGGATTTAGTAAGAACATAGTTCGCCAGAATTTCTATGTTCAATTAGAATTTAAATAGGAAATCCTCTCCAAATAGGAGTCAAATGAAACATCTAGTAGAGTGTTAATGGAATTTAATACGGACAGACTTCAATTGGGCTTTAAACAAAAAAATTGCAAAGAATTAATTCCCAAATATGGGCCTTTGAACATAACATTTAGAAATTAATTCATTCCCAACTATGCCTTAAATTAAACTTGATTAAAATTTAATGGATTTTTGTATGGACAACAATTCAAAGTTTTCCAATGAGAACTTGAATATCAACTTTAATGTACCTGTATAAGGAAAGCAGTTCAATTAGAATTCATGTGTTCAATTAGAACTTGAATATGCACTTTAATGGATTTGTATATGAAAAACAGCTCACTTAGAATTTATATCAAATTAGAATGAATATGAATTCCTTTCCAAAGATGACTGTCATGAAAAGTCAATTAGAAAATACAATAGAATATAATAAGGACAGATTTCAGTCACAATGTCTATTCTGAACAATCCATTGGAAGACTGCTGAAACCTAGGTTTTTCTTGTTTTTGTGGGGCGGGGTAGCATATATATATATATATCATATATATATATATATATATATATCATATTTATATAATATATATGTATACATCTATAGATCTGTACATGTATACATCTTTCTTGTATACATACATATCTGCATATCAGCCGCGTCTTTCTCGTTGCGTCTTTGGAAGCCCGGTGGGCAAACGTCTGAAAAGCTACGCCCGAAAACCTGTCTCAGCGGTTGAGGCAGACTAAAACCTGCAGAAAACGAGAGTTTGGGCTGGAGTCGACCCCCGGCCTTTGCCCAACTTGAGAAACGTAGCGGGGCCACAGGGCACATTCCCCCGTTGAGTCTCAATTCATTTTCTGGGGCAAGGGGGAGAAAAGGGTGAAGGAACCCCTCCTTCCTGAGGTGTAATTTCCCCCTCGCCTTGGGGCGGGGTTTGATCCTCAGGACACGGCAGGACTGCGGAGAGGCTTTGCCTCCAACCCTCTGAGCCCAAAACGTCGAAAAAGTTCGGCCGGGCGAAAGTCCCATCAGCCCGTCATCCGCCCATCCGCCCATCCGCCCATCCGCCCATCCGCCCACCCGGCGAAGGTGCAGCTCCCAAACGAGGCAGCCGCTGAAAAGGAGAACCTCCTCTTCTCACGAAAAGAACCAGCCCTCGTCAACATGGAAACTTCCCTGCCGCTTCGAAAAAGATTGGATTTTTTCCTTGGGGGGAGGGCCTGACCATGTGGTCAGGCAACAAAAAGGGCAAGCCCACCGAATCATGCGCTCATCCCTGGTCATCAAGAGGACTCCCCCGCCCTTGTCGACCCACTTCAGGCCCCTCCCTCACAGCTCTTCCGCGCGGGTTGCACCCGGCACGGAGTCGTGGATTGAGGGCGTTGGGAGTATGTACAAAGCCGTTGACATGTTGGGCTCTAGCCATACGGCTATAGCGGTTTTTACAGATGCTACAGACCCCATGAAGCCAAGCAGGACCTGCTGAAATTGCCTCTGAGAGGGGGGCGTAGGGGAAGTTGGGCAATTGGCGGCCTTTGAGTCAGCTGTCCTCTTGGCCGGCGTGGTGGGTGCCAGTCATACTGTGAATGGACGAAATCCTGCACCACCTAAGAAACCCTGGAATGCTTCGATTCCCCTGCAATGGTTTCCCATGGTTTCAAAGTGGTGCAGGATTTCGTCCATCCACAGTACGTTGGGAGCTTGGATCTAAAGAGTTGATTCTGTTCACCCATTGTTCTTTTCAGAACTGCCCCCCCCCAATTGTCTCAGGCTTGTTGAGCCGACTTTCTAAGAAGGATCCCTGAACAGAATGGGGAGGGTGTGGCTCGATGTCGTGGCTTCAGGAACGATGAGCACTGGGAGGAACGGATGTGGGCACTAATTCAAAACAAGCCAAGACTTGCATAAGAACCATGTGAATGGACTTGCTTCTCACCTGGGAGCTCCAGAGAGTTGGCGATGCTTCCCATGCCCCGGAGAAGAAAAAAAATGGCCCAGATTTTCTGCAAGCTCCCAAGTCCAATCCCAGCAACCTGGATACCAACTCAAGACTCACCAATTTGGGGAACGCTTTTCCCCCCGTCCCGTCAGGCTTTACAGGTGCGCACAAGCAAAGCCTCGACTCAGTGGATCCAAGCATCCCCCACTCTGCAGCTTTTGAATGCCAAGTTGCTGACCCCTCTTCCTATTCCCAAAATGGGCGAACCAACTCCCAGCCCCTCAAAAAGTGGAATGCGCTGCTCGAAGAGTCTTCAGCCCAGATTTCCGCAGGCCAGAATGCGACGACTCAACGGAGCTCGTGATACCCCCAAATGAAAGTCAGCACAAAACCCCTATCAAACATTTCGCCACAAACCAAAAGGTGCATCACACACGTACGCACAAACACGCAAACATATGTAACAAAAACTGTCTTCAAGTCAGCTGCCTTCAAACAACTCCCCAGCCGCCCAACCAACTGCCAGCCCTTGAAATCCCCAAATCGCCTCTTTGAACGTGGCCAGGCGCTTGCGCACGGCCTCCGCGTTGTCATCCGCCCTGCAAAGGGGGCGCGGAGCCTTTACAACGGATCAAATGGGATCAGTTGCTCATCATGAGACAGGATCCAGCCACTGACAGGGACGACTCAGCCAGGCTGGGGGCAATTACGCGCTCTTTGGAAACAACTCCCCAAAGAACAAGCACATCCGCCCAGGCGACCCCGGTCGAACTAGGAGCAAAGGAGTCATCCTTTAGCAAGAGGCAGGCAGGCAGGCAGGCAGACGGACAGACTGAGACAAACAAAACAAATAAAGAAGAAAAAAAAACAAGCCAAGCCAAGCCAAAATCAAAGCAAACCGACAACACCAGCAGGCCAGCAGACCAGACCAAAGCAGGAAGCCATTTCAAACAAGACAGGGAGGGAGTTCCAAAGAAGCACAGAGAAAACCACCGCCAGCTCATCAAGAGATCCTTGGGTCGTTCATTCACCCGCCTGCCGCTCGTCTTCCCACGCTCCATGATTCTGGCCTGCAACGGGCCCCCGTCAGGCGCTTGGGCGGACGGACTGCTGGTGCTGGTGGTGGTTGTGGTGCGTCTTAGATTCATCTTTTGGTGGCGTATTCACAATCAGGTGCTATCTTTTGATCTTAGTATGGACGACAGATTCTGCAGGATATGTGCTTGGGAAATTTATGGGATGGCGGAAAGTTCTTAAGTGGTTGGATGGTACAAAAGAACCTGTTCCTCAGTACGGAGTGCTACATAGGGGGTCTGGGAACTTCAAGAAGATCCGACCCCTTCGGTTTCCTTCATGGAAGACTCAAAGATTTCTTGGAGTGGATGGACTTATTCAAGAACTTAGTTTATGTGCTTATATACTTTCTTTCGGATTTATGTTGTTGCTTCTTGATTCTCCTGAAAACTCAACATGATAAATCAACATGACAACTTTTGTTTATGTGTTTGCTTTCTTACAGATTTATGTTGCTGCTTCTTGGTTCTCCTGAACACTCATCGTGATACTTCACTCTCACTGTCGCTGCGGGCGCCTCCATCACGGCCTCGGAGCAGTCGAAGAAGAGGGCGAACTGCACATCCACCTTGCCTGAAGCTTCGGAGTGTTTCGGATTCAAATTGCAACCGCTTCCTTTGGTTTACCTTGACCAAAAACAAATGGAACCTCCCACCACTTGGAAGCTCTGTTTGGGATTTAAGTTTAACTGGCGACCCTTTAGGTTAGATGAGATTTGTGTCCACCAAACACCATCTTCAAAACAAAGAAGAAAAAAGAAAGAAAGAGGGAATCCATTTGGGGGGGGAAGGGAATAGCAGCAAATGTGCCAAAATCCTCCAAAAAGTTGCAAACTCGAGCTTCTAATCATTGCAACGGATGTCCCAATTGTTCGATCTTCCAACATCAAATCAAACTTTCGAGGGTCGGAAGAAACTGGTAAGCGGGGTTTCCCGGCACCTTCTGAACGAAACATAGGGATTGCTCCCAAGAGTCTGACGAACAAATGCCCCCACACAAAATCGTTTGAAGTCTGCCCTCGGTTCAGAGCAGCCCTGCTTGTTTACCTGCAAATCGCGCTAGCAAGAGGGATGATGGTCAAATTGGCCTTGGCAAAATTAATTGCTTAAAAATTGCTTTAAAAAGTATGGGTCAATCCCACGAAGAAGAATCAGACTAGCGGAAACGTGCCACTTTTTGGATAGGATCCATTCCAGTTAGCCCAACATTGTCATCTACGCTTTCTTCGGCTCATTTGGTGGATCAGGCAACCCTTTGGTGGTTTCGGTTGGTGGTGTTGAAATGATTTTGAACCCGTTCTTGAGGTAGATCGGAAACCACCCAACCTCACCTCCAAAACACCAAAATCCAAACCGGATACTTTCTTGCACACGCTATTTCCAAAATGTGGGTCGAAAGTGAGAGTGTCGACATTTTGAGGGTTCAATGGCGATTTCTTTTTAATCGCAAGACACTTTTTCTGGGCCCAGAAATGCAAAAACATGCATGTGTTTGCAGTAATTATTGGGGAAGCCAATGCTTGCTTGCCCCAAGCTAGGGGCGATGTGGGGATCACACACTTTGCGCCATGTTTGGGCCCTCCGGAGGCAGTTGTATCAGCTGCGTCGATTGTGCGCCCCGCTTTGCGTGTTCTTCTGTTTCGGTTGCGAGCACAACATCAACTAGCAAATGCAAGAACACATCTCTCAGGGTCGCCATTTGGGTGTGGCTCAAACACACCAGGAGGTTTTGGTCCATGTTTCCACTTACCGATCGGGTTCCATTTTGGTACCGGTTTTTTGAGCCAGCCACTTAGCTTCGAGAGAAACCAACGCCTCCCTCCCGAAACCCAGGAAACCAGCAGGCGCTATCTTCCTGGATCAAATCGATTGGAATTGGCCCATGTCCTTCCTGCACGAACTCTGGTGATGCCCGTACTGGCCGTCTTTTTCACAATGGACAAATGAGGGGGACACCTCCCCGGGGTTTCCTTCCCTTGCAGTAAGCCGCAAGCATCCAAAAGCTGGCTTCGACCCAATTCACCTACCAAAATCTGATGGGTCTCAGCAGGGAATGAGGAAATGACCCTTACAATCCCTTGTGGTTTCCTTAAGAAAAAACCCTTGGTTCATTCCCACATTCCCTTCTGAGCTCGTTCCATCCCCTGCCCTTCGCGCCCTCTTCCCACGCCTCCCAGGACCTTCTTCCAGCCCTCCATGTTATCGAAGCTCCGGGGGAAGCCGTCCACCAGGAACTTGCCCTGGACAGAGGTTCATGGGCACCCCGTCTTTCATCTCAACTCTTTGACGCCAACCACTTTAAGCACAAAAAACACTACCCAATATCCCCCCCCCTCTCTCCCACTTCCCACCATTTTGCCAAAGTGAATAAAACAAAGCATCGCCACCCCCTCTCTCCCCCCTCTCTCCTCCCCCCGCCCGTCTTTCCCGCCCGCTCCCAGCGAAGTCCGCGCGACTCGTGGCTCCTGGGCCCAGCCGAGCTTCTCCATAGCCTGCTGCAGGAGCTTCACCACGATCTCCACCGGCACCAGCTTCCCCTCCTGCGCGTTTTCGCGGAGGCCGAGCGGAGAAGCAGTTGCCGCTGGCTCTTTTTTTTGGGCGGAGTTTTTTGAGACCAACTTCCAGCACCCCAAATAAACCCCCAGGCAAGGAGGGTGAGACTGCAGCAACTTGGTGCAGGTCAGAAAGAAAATCGAGTGGTACCTTGCCAAAAGCCAAACATGAAACCTCCATCATGTGAGTACAGCACTCCGACCGGTCGCGAAACGAAAGGCTCCCTCTTTTGATTGGCAAATCTTCGGATACCCCCCGCTCCGAGTCCGGATCGCTACCTTCCAAGCAGCTGGACATCGGGAACCTGAAGCATCCATCAACCAACCGGCCAACCAGCTCGCCTTGATGTAGCTCTCGATAAGCTCCCCATACTGCGAGCCTGCTCGCTTCCTCTCCTGCGGTGGTAGCACACCTCACTTGCCCTGCGGCCTGGAAATACGGGGCCAAAAGGTCAACCTCGTGGAACCTTGATCAAAAATAGGCCAAAAGGGGAAAAGCAAAGGGTCAAAAGGTCGATTCGCTTGGGAGAGGTGAGACACTTGCTGCTGTGTAGGGTCTGGGAAAAACAAAACCCTCTTTTAGGCATCCTTTTGGGAAAACCAAAGATCGAGGGATGCTTAGCAGCCTAGTACAAGTTACAATGCCATTCTAGGTAAATCTGCAACATCTAACGGATCAATCGAATTGCGGCCCCCTTTTTCGGAGCCTCTTGAAAGACAAAACCAATCTCCAGCATTTATCCTGCCAAAAGCAACCCTCGTACGAAGGCTTGATGTGAGCTCGTTCACCCCATAAAGTAGACACCAGCACAAGCTGGGTGTAGTTGTGTTGCTCATGGCAAAGTGGTCTTATTGATCACTCTCGTTCGCAAGCTGTGCTAAAACCAACCGGGTAGGGGGAAGATTCCCAGAGCTCAAAGCCGCTTTCCGGCCCAAACAGATTCACCATCGTTCTCTCCGGTTTTGCCAATGTGTAGCTTTTCGGGGTGCCCTGACAGCTTTTTTACCATTTGGTCCCTAGATAAGAAAACAAAAGGAGCTTAGAGGCTCGGAGCAACCCAGCCTGATTTCGTGAAGATGCTCCGGAAGTACGCAAGTGGGCCCCAACTGTGGATGGACGAAATCCATTTCGCACCACCTGAGACAGCCTGGACTGATTTGATTCCCCTGTAAATACCAACAAAAAACGGTTTCCCATGGTTTCAAAGTGGTGCAGGATTTCGTCCATCCACAGTATGACAGTGGGTATCATTATGGCTTTCTTTCTTGTAATGGACTTAAATGGGGCGCCTAGATTGACTATTCTCAGGTGACCAAAAAAAACAGCTCGGGACTTCGCAAAATGGCTGGTGTCAAGCTGGTTCCATTTGCGGGTTGATCAATGTTTCTCTCGGCCCCCAAATGACCATGGAAAAATTGTCCCATGTGGCTGTGGCACAAAAAACTGGTACCAAAATGGGGACCTGGTAAGTGGAAACATGGACCAAAACCTGCGTAACCCCCCCTGTTTAATTTTGAGCCACACCCATGTGGGAAATATCATCTTTACAGTGGCCTTCCCCGATGGTCCCATGTAAAGAACCTTTTGATCCACCCCCACGTAGCTTTCTGGGCTGTCCCCAAATCCTCTGCTGAAAGTGACAAACTTTTAGTGGGTGAAATACGGGAACCTCCACCCACTAAACCAACCAAAAAGCTGAAAAGCTCAGTTGAACCAGATTGCTGGGAGCCACCAAGTCAAGCATCCCTTAGAGAAGCCTGCCCAAAAGTCAGCCGAATGGAGAACCCTGACAAAGAAGGGCAGCACTGCGCACGGCCGGAAAAAAAAAAAAAAAAAAAAAAAACCAGAACCGAGATCCCCAAGTTGTGTACGATTGCTTTTACCTTTCCCAAGCTGGTTGAACCACCCAGGTTTCCATTTGAACCTGTTTTCTTCCAAATCCTCTCATCCACCTCCCGCTCTTGACACCCTCCTCCCGCAGCAGGTCACCGGCGCTGAGGTGCTGGTAGCCGAAGGTCTGCCGTCAAACCCAATCAAACTTCAGCTTGGCCCATGGACGAAAGGGCGGAGATCTCCGCGCGACCCTGGTTTAAAAACAAAAAAAACTCGTGGGTGGTAAAAAAAGAATCCAACAACTACCGTGGGTGGTAAAAAATCCAAAAACTACCATGGGTGGTAAAAAAAAAATATCCACAAACTACCGTGGGTGGTCGGACTCTCCCTAAGCTTTCTAGCCGGGTTCTGATGGCTCAAGTGAAAGGCCCGACGAAAACGGAACTCAAAAGGCAAAAAAACTGCCTTTCCGTTTGAAACTTTGGGCTGGGACCAGAAGCCAAGTCGGGGGGGCTCCGAAACGACTGAAATCGAAGTGGAGGCCAAAGAAGCCAAGGAGACGCCCGGAGCCGTCGGCAAAGGGCGCCGAAATAATCAGCGAATCAGCGGTGACGAGGGCTGCGATGCCTTCCTATCGCTGCGCAATGAGCCCAGGTGGTTATTTTTGGAAAATACATGCTGGCAAATCATTGGAACCCATTTGGCAGTGGTTCCAAAACATGTACCAAATGGCCACCCTTGGCAAAAGGAACCAAAGCCGAAAACCTGCGGTTTGTCCTAGCTCTTTCATTTTGAGCCACACCCATTTGGGTGAGAACTGTATGTGGGTTCCGGACCTCATTTTGGGGGGTTCCTGTCCACCAACCTCTTTTGCGGTGGGTCCCTAATTGGTACGCTGGGGGGTTGGTAATGGATGTGCACGGACCCCTGTAGAAAGACTACTTTCCTCTTAATTTGTGCACTTCCATGTTAGTTGGTGGGAGGGTACTCCTCTGAAGCCGGTGCAATCCATCTATCGACCAAAGCCTTTGGCCTGAAAGGGCACCAGGCAAGCCTCGCGCCCGTGCAATGACAACCTGTGAGGACAAGCCGCTCGAGCATCCTGTAACCTATGTGAGCGAGATAAATACCAATAGCTTGCTTCTATGATCACCAAATATTTCAACGTACCCCACAACCCTGGTCTAGTTGTTTCCGCGACAAATTTCAGGGATCGCCAAACCATTTGGGTCTGTACTTGAGGCTAGGATTGGGTTAAAGAGAAGTAGAAAGAAAATAACACTTCCTTTGGGGTTCCCCCCCCAAGTTGTTGATTCCCCCCCCAAGTTGTTGACATACATCCACATGGAGATCCAGAAGTCAATTGTCATACTAGTGGTCGACCCAGCTCTCACTTCCTCCAACCTCTTCAACCCAGCTCACCCATCGAATCTCCACCAAAGATGGAGGATAATGGAAAATTACTCCAGGTGGGCAATCTCCACCGTAAATCGAAGTGGCACCTCGACCCTCTTCCTTCCACGCTTTCAAAAGTTGTGCTGTAAGATTGCTTGGGGTCGAACTCCGACAGCAGCAGAGTCCACATCATTTGCATTACTACCAATACCACAAGTACCTCCCTTCGCCCGCTCATTTCCTGTCACCGCAGGCAGCAGTTACTCGCAGCAAGGTGAGAATAGGCAGACAAGTTCATCCGCCCGAAAAACGCCGTGGGGATGGTTGCTGTGCTAGCAGCTTAGCTTGCAGCACTAACTCATCTCGGTTGCTTTCTGCTCCCCTGCTAAAAGTTTTTAACTTTAGTGGTTTAAGACGGAAAACCCATCAGTTGGATCAAAAAGTGATTCAGTCCTAACAGCCCTTGGCAAAATGCACCAAAGACATTCATTCGACCATCCCTTTCCAGCTGTATCTAGTGACCAGGCCAATGACTTAGAAAGCCCAGGCTTTGTGGGCTTCCTTGATTTCAGCGGACGCCACTCGGCGAGCGGTGTGGCTTGGTCCGTTGCGGTCAATGCCCTTCAAGTCAAAGACGCCCTGGTTTCCATAGGCGTCCTTTTAGTTGGAAATAGATGGATTTCCCTGGTGGATGATTAAACCCAATCCAGTCTTGGAACCCTGAAACGTTTTCTTCAGCCATGAAGCTTCAGCACAGCACACGTTGTCCCGATCTGCAAATGTTGTCGGTGAGTCAAATCCGTATCCCGGATCTCCTGTTGGACAATTCATGGGTTGGCAAATGGGTGTACCTCAAAATTAACCAGGAGGGGTTACGCAAGTTTTGGTCCATGTTTCCGCGTACCAGGGTTCCATTTTGGTACCGGTTTTTGAGCCACAGCCAAATAATTCAGCTGCGAGAGAGAACCAGAGAGGCATAACAGAAGGAAGGGGCTGGAACCGGCTAAACCCGGACGCATCGGGCGAATTGACGCAAACCGAACTAGGCCACCCCGGTGTGACTCACGAGTTGGTCCGATACAACGCAGGCTCCAGCTCAGCCAGCCAGCGGCCGCCCAGCCACCTGCACAGAGGTCGGAAATCGGATGGTTGTGGGTCAAAAAATTTAGATAACCCCAAAATGGGGGGGCACCAGGTAAACGGAACCAAGGACCAAAACCTGCGGTCGACAATTCCAAGCGCCGAGCCTTTCGGCTGGGGGAATACTCCGCGCCTGGCCCAAGTGCACACCAGTCCGAGGGAAAGGCCTTCAGAAAGCCGTTTGGGGATTGGGTGATGTTCAAAGGGCTGTGGCTCACAAAGGGCTGTGGCTCACCAAACAAAGTACCAAATCGAATTCACCAAAATGGCACCTTGGTAAATGGAAACAAAGACTAAACCTGCGTAACCCTAGCTGCTTAATTTTGAGACACAGCCGGATTGAATCTTGGGATCATCGAATTGGCGCTTTTCTGGTTTACAGCGCAGGAAGCCGCAAGGTTGCCGGGCAAAATGATGAAACATAACTACCTGCTTGGAGGAAACCGGGGACTGCTTCGGGTCTTCTGCCCAACATGATTGACATGTCCAACGTGTTCTCTGGCAAGCTTCCTAGATTAGACTTGTTAAAAGACGACTCTTGACCAGTCGTCCGACCGCCCTGGCACGGCGCAATTCCATGGCCCGACCAAACCAGAGAACGCCCGCCCAGTCGCACCTGTCTGCGGCTGGGGGATGCTCGTGAGCAGCGTTGGCAACGCCGCACTGGGCCGGCGGTCGGAAAATCTCCCCATGCGACCCATGCGGTTTCGGGGGATTTCGGAAGCAAGTGGCCCAAAGAAACGAACACGTTCTCGCAAGGCAAGGGCACGAAATCGGATCCTGTGAAAAAGGAACATGGGACGCAAAACGGAAATTCGAGTCCTGGTGTGGTGTGAGGAACTTGGGTGGCGTTGTCAGCTGAGAAATAGATCGCAGAGGCCGGGGTTGAAAGGCTTGGCTCTAAAGCGGGCTGAGGGTCAACAAACTTGAATGCGGCCAAAAACAGCACTTGGGCTATTTAAGGCTAGTCAATGCTGGGCCTGGGGTGGAACACCTCGTCTACACTTTGCCAGCCTTCTCATGTAGATTGGCGGTATGAATGTTCATACCCTGGAAACCACACCCGCGACGCACACAACGCTTTGGCCACAGTTTATGTTCAGGTCATCGTTCCGCTGGGTGACACCGGTGAGCGTCTTTCCCCCCTACGGGCCCTACGGTGCAACCAAACCAAATACAGCTCTTGAACACTGAGCATCGGGTTCTCCAAATCCGCCCGAATCCGCCCACCCCGAAGATCCCTCAATGCCAGGGCCCAAGCCATCTCTCCTCCTCGACCATCTGGCGGCCGGCCCGGGCCTGTGCCACAACATCAGCGCGCAATGAGCCCGGCTGGAAAGGTATTTCTTCGAGGTCTGCGTCTTTGAAACGTGGTGATCAGTTTTGTTGGGGTGCGTGACAATGGAGGACTTGTCAAGTGCTGTTGTGCGCCCCTTTCTTTTGCAGTGCAACCGACCGGCCTGGAAGAGGACAGAGGCAACTCGTGCACATACTCAAGGCTTCCCCGCTAGGCCATTGTCCCGAAGCGGTATGTGTGTGTGTGTGTGCGTATCACGTGATGTTTCAAACGGAGCTGCTAGCTTCGACTAATGGGTTCACACTGAAACATCTAACGAAAAGCCCGGCTTCCCCGTTTGTGAAAGATGCTCGATCATGTGTTGAGATGCCTCCTCTTCCCCTCCTCCTCCTGCATCTTAGTCATGCTAGTTACTCGCCAAACGGTTGAGACTTGTGGGTTCATAGAAAGAGGAACAGCAACTGCCAACAACGTCAGCGCTATCTGCGTCCAAACTCTGTGTGTGAAGGAAACCATGCCCTGCCTCGATTAGGACCCCCTCGATTATCAGGAACCGCGCGTTCCTGGCGGAAAACATTCCCGCACGCAACGAGCGGGAGCCAATGTCTCAACTCAAGACTCAAATGGGCGGAGAGTCTATGTCGTGTCCTTTTTGAACACCCTCAAATCCGCTCGGTGGAGACAAGGCCATTTGAGTCACAATCAAAACCCGATATTAAAATGATTGATCCAGAACCATGTGAGGAAATACCAAGGCGGTCGCAGCTGTTTATGGCTGGGATCGTCCCTTACTAACCTTCATCTACCCGGGTTTTGATTGTGACTCATTTGCTTAGTCGCTTGCAGCCAAGCCCAGTGCGGGAAGCTGCAAAAAAAGTCACGCGGCAAACACACACGCCACAGAGGCACCGAAATCTCTCCCGCCCTAAAATCGGACTCGCCACAGACGGCACGAACCAGGCCTGTCACTCGGCTCCATCTCTTTCAACCACCGGTCCCTCAGAGACGGCAGATGCACGTGACCACACGTTGGCCCGAAAAATATTCAGGTGTCCCAGTGGTTTTCTGGGCCTTGCGGCGTCAAAAAAAACAAAAAGATTTGCGCGCACTTACGGACACGTTCTCCCCCGGTTCGCGCATTGTGACTTGTGGCGTGAGTCCTCAAGCTAACAAAATGAATCCGAATAGCCACTAATCGGCAACAAAGACACGTGAATAGGCATCACGTCAGTTGCTCCATAAGTTGCACGTGCAAAAAAGTGCGGCCAATCACTATCACAACCCGATTCATCAGAGGCACCCAAGGTGCCTTCAACAAATGTACACACCCTCTGGCCCCAAGGCAACACGGTGGCACCCATCAAATAGACTGTCCTCCCGGCAAAGCGACCAAGTCGCATGTAGGCTTTGTACATGGAGAGATGCACCGGCGTCAAATCGCCATGCATCCTCGGGGCCAAGCATCAAACAACATTCAGCTCCATCGCTTGCAGAAAGCGAGGCAGGACGGGTATCTAGAGCTATGAGTCATGAGTTTGGCCCCGTGTGGATGGTACAAGGCAGCCAGAAGCAGCCAGCTTCCGCGCACCAAAAGCATCAGACTCCTTCTTCCAAGGTGCTGGTGGAACTTCATCTCAACCCTCCTCCGTACTTCTTGCTTCTCCTCCTCGGATCGACATGTCCACGCTTGGGCCGCAGGAAAGGGGACGCGAACAGGAAACGGAAGACAAGCCTTCTGAAACGAACACCGAGCCACGAAAAAAAGTGAACCACAGGTGGCTTTGCTCGCATCCAAGCAAGTCCCTTGTGGATCGGGGAGAAAACGTGATCTCGTTTCATTTCGCACCCAACCCCCTACCCCTGGCCCGCCTTCAGGACATGTCCGAAAACAGAAAAAATTGGCCCTGACAAACAATGCTTGCACAGGTTGATTCCCCGGCGCCCCAAAGCCCAAAGCGGTGCCTCCTGGACGGCGTCCATGTGCCCAGCAAGGGCCGCAAGGTCGACTTTGTACATCTCTTCCGCCGAAATCACCCCATCGCCGTTCAAGTCGTATAGCTCGAAGAGCCTTCCGAGATAGAGGCCACCAAGACAACATGGAGACAACAAGCGGGCAGAAGTGTTTTTCATCCTTCAGAAAGGATGCGCTGTGCTCCATCCTTGCAATGATCGAAGGACCCGGCTTAGGCCAAAACATTTGGCAAAAGGCGCCTCTGACTGAAATTCATCAAAATGGGCAACTTCAAGCTCGCAACGCGCTCCCCTTGGAATGGATCCCTCTAAATCTTGCGCAGGCACTCTCAAATTGTCAAAGGGTTCTCGAATGCTAAGTCGGCACGGTCTCAGCAGTTGCTTTCCAAAGGCGCCTGATGATCATGTCTCTGATCGCTGCGTCCAGCCCATCCCGCACCTGCGATGGAAAGTAAACCCAAGGCTTATCATTCCCCACCCCTTTCGTGGGTTGCCGCACCACCCACCCCCCTCCCCCCGACCCCCATGTTGCCCAGTGTGACTACCTGCGCTTCACTTTGGTGTATATTTGGCTCATGCTGCTTTGGTTTGTCTTCTCTGTGTGGCGGTTGAGTTGTTTCCAGTTTTCCCGGGGCGGGAGATATGATTTGGTCATAAAGCTGCCAGGGAAGGCGTGAGATTCAGGCATGTCCCATGTGTTCTAATGATCATTCTCCTGAACGCATGCGGGCAGGTTCGAATTTCATCCTCCTGGGTGGAAGAAAGCAGAGATCAAGGTCGACGAGTTTCCCACCCTTCGAATGGCATGTGCGGCATGTTGGTCCATGGAAAACGCATCCCCAGCAGCCAAAGATGTCCATACACGCAGCCTACATCTTGCTGCAGTTTGCAAGACACCAAATGGTCGGCCATGCATAAAGTTAGAAACCAATGGGCTCTGCAAAATTGCCCTGTGTCTACTGGTTTAAAAAGGGTCTGCGGGCAGAAGTTACTTGCTGCTGACGCTGGAACGTTTAAAAGCAGGCCCTGATAAGTCCTCCCTTTAAAAGCAAGCGGTGACATAAAGCAACTACTTGGAGAAATGGAGTCCAAAGCTCTCGTTGATTCCGCGGCAGGTCCCTAACAAAAATATCACGATACGTCGCTCTCCCCAGAAAGTACCAAAACAACTGAAACGCCGATAGCAAACAAACAAACAAACAAACAAACAAACAAACACACAAACAAACAAGCAAGCATGCCAGCATGCATGCAAGCATGCAAGCAAAAAAGCAAGCAAGCAAGCAAGCAAGCAAGCAAGCAAGCAAGCAAGCAAGCAAGCAAGCAAGCAAGCAAGCAAGCAAGGAAGCAAGGAAACACACATGTGTGTTCAAAAGAGTTGTAAGTGAGATATCCAAGTGGGCACGCTGAGAAACAACAAATTACGGAAACGCGACAAAAAATCCTCCGGCCTGCCCTTGGCACAGTTCGCAGAACGGCATATTGCCCATTCTGGTGAGGTGTGTGCGGATCGCGGCACTCTACACGTCTCAGGCTGAGCACCGGCGGAAGATCGGTGGGCGTGCAGCTTGTCCGGTGAACCACAAGAAGTCGCAAAGTCTCGGCATCTTGGGCCCTCAAACATGGGTCCCACACACCGCCTATGGAGGTCCTAACCCTTTCAATGGAGGTCCCGAGTCCTAACCCTTTCAATGGAGGTCCTATATAGCCCTTTCAATGGAGTGTCCTTTCCGATGCCTAGGGAACCTGAAACATGCTGGCGACCCTCGAGAACGAAGCCATGAGGGAAGCCGCCGACGAAATCGCCAAGCAGCCAGAAAGCAGTGCCCACGGCAAAGGAGAAATAGCCAAGCAGCCACAGACAATGCAAATGGCTGTGGCTCAAAAAGCCGGTACCAAAAATGGAACCCTGGTAATTGGAAACCTGCTTAACCCCTCCTGTTTAATTTTGAGCCACACCCAAATGTCTTTTTCAAGGGTACCCTTTTTGTACCCCGATGGTTTGAAGAAAAGTCAAAACAAGCCCTTAGTCCATATCCATGTAACAGCAGCAAACAGTGAGGTTTCTGGAGCTGTGTGGAACCACCAGTTGAAGCACTCAGCACACACTGCTCGTAGGGCCCCTTGGTTCCTGTGCTGCAACTACCGACAGCCCCAAGTACAGGTCACCAAGTTCCCCCTTCACAAGTTGATCCATTTGCTGGGGGTTCCATTGAAACGATCGCCACTTTTAGAGGGGAGGAAACCCTGTCAACAAAAAAAGAAAAGAGAAAGAGAATCAAAAAACGGCTCTCAATCAACGCTTCTATCAGCTCTCGCCCTATCCCCACCTTACCTCGCCTGCGAGATGCGCGCGCACTGCGTTCCTTTGCCTGGCAGTCAAGCTCACTGCTACCGCGAGCGAATCGGGGAGTCCGATTGCACTTTTCGCAAAGCGCCGTCTTGGGCGATGTCCTTTTGTGGTTTCTTTAGACACAGAAGGGGGTCCCTAAATCTGGGCTGCCCTCAGATCCCCTGCTAGAGGTTTAACTTTTAGTGGGTTAAATGGAAACTACCACTAAACCCACAAAAATGCTAAAAAGCTAAGGAACCAGATGGCTGGGAGCCACCAAGTCATTTCGGAAACATCCAAGACAAACTTGCTCTTCACCTGAAAAGGAGTCCTCCAGCAAGCATGGAGTTGTGAAGGCTCTTTCACCCGGTTCGGTGAAAGCTCACTGGGTGTAGACCGGGGATTGAGACGCGAACCTCAAAAATGAGGTTTGCCGTTCAAGCCCGAAACATATCCCAATGACTTGATTGCCACCCAAGGTTTGAGCTTGGACCCCCCCAAGTCCCCAAAACAAGCGTATAGACTGCCGGTAATGCTTCTCTCGTCAGTTGAGATTTATCTCCAAAAATGGAGCCCACAGGTATCCTTTCGGAAAACAGATGGCCGTGATGATTGAACCAGGGACCTCTATTGTTCATCAAGCCAACCAAAAAGAATGCCCAATGATGAAGGCACTTGGTGGCTTTCCATCCGTAGAGCCTGGGGGATGCTTGTCCACTGCGAATCGAATCGGCTCACCAGGTTGGGTGGACCCATCTGGCTTCCTTTCGTGCAATCGGAACCTCTTCCACGGGTCCCCTGAAAACAAGACTTTGCAACAAGAGGGAAAACCCACCAGAATTAATGTTAACCCCATATTATTTTTTTGCTGGTTGATTGTTATTGGGGGGTGTCCCCTTTTAGTGGGATTCAGACCACTTTTGGAGGGAACACGCCCCTAATAATGGGACTGGTTCTACTTGGATCCTGGGTCAACATTTGCCTGGATGAATATGACTGTGGGCTTTCTGACCCAAACCAGGGTACCCATGATTAATCCTTTCTGACCAGAAATCCCACCCGGGTTGCCCACTAGTATGGCGTCCTGGTCTCCCCAAACCAACCCACTTTGCGCGAGCCGAGCTCGCCCGTCTCCCACCTGCGCCGGGCCCCCCAAGCACAAAGATCACCTTGGGCCTTGCGCGTGGGGGCGAGACGAACACCCCGTGGGCAGGAAACAAAATGCGTTTGGGGACTTTGGGGACTTTGGGGACTTTGGGGACTTTGGGGACTTTGGGGACTTTGATGACTTTTGGGACTTTGGGGAATTACAACCTTTGGCAATTTGGGGTGATTCGTGGGATGTCAGGGCAAATTGATTTAGGAACGTGGGAAGTTTTGGCCCACTTCTACATCTGAGACTATTTCTTAGGAGTGAGCAATTGGTAAGCAAGAAGTGTGAGGTCGATAAACTCCAGGATTACCCGTCGAGAGAGAGAGAGAGTGAACGGTTCGTCTTGCAGTCACTCCACTCTCTTCACCCATCTCCCCTTTCTTTGTACCCACTCTCGTCTTTAACTCAGGAACAGGAGAGCCGAGAAAGGGAAAGACCTATTCTCGCCGGCCAGCCACTCCCCTATTCATCCGTCGCTCTCTCTTTAGCATTAGGAATTATCTGCTAGTCACGGATAGAGGGTGGGCCAGAGCGGAGAGAATTGGATCAGATATAGTTGTGGATGGGTAAAAACGGTGAGTGACAAGAAAAATCCCAAAGACTCAGGTGGGGAATGGGAGCTACAAAAATTACATGTCACGGCATAGAAACGGTACCCTTGAGATTTTAAGCAGTGCCAAGCCTCTCTCTTCCCTCTCTGGCCGGCTAACGAGAGGCTCATCACACCATCCTACACTCATCCACCTCCGGTCCGTTTCTGGCCTATCAATATTGGATGGTTGATGCCCTGAACGAGAGCCTGTCCCTTCCATCCAGCACTCACCTCACCTTTGAACGGAATGAATCCGGGACTTCAAGGGCTCTCTGTTCCTACCTTCAGACCATTTGACTGAGAGGTGCAGGAAGATGCCAGCCCACTTCTCTTCACCACCTGTCAGCTCTTGGAATCGCATGCCAGGTAAACGAACGGAGAGGTTGGCAGGAGATGGAGAGGTGGTAGACAGGGAATGGTGGATGGGAGAGATGAGACATCATAACCTCGGAAACAAGAAAGTGGATATGATGTCCATCTCTTCACCACCACCTATCTCTGTCACACACCTTATTCTCAATCCCTTCGCTTTCCCTTTACTTCTTTCCGCCTCAAATCCTTTATCTTGGTTTTCATGGATTCTGAGGTAGACGAAAGAAGACAGGAAAGCAAGGTTTTCAGGGAAAAGAAATTAGGAAAGATATTATATGCCTTCATTCACTTTTTGTTCCTATTCAATTCTAAAGATGTCTAATGAAGGCATATGTCATCTCTTTGTCCCACCAACCCATCCAAATACTTCTTAGTTTTGATGTTGGATGGGTGACGGTGGGAAGGAATGGGAGAAGGCGTCTTATTTACCCCATATGCTATTGTCTTACGCCTTCTCTCATCCCATTCCTCTCGCTCTCCTATCTGTTCCTGATGAATCTCTTTCCCTCCGCTCGTTCCTTTTCAAGGGTTCACAGGTGATTCGTGGAAAGGGAACGGAAGATGTCCGCGCTCAGCGAATGATAGAAACTTCTCGATGCAGCGGCCAGGCCCTGAGAGATGTCCACTCGCCACAAATAAGTCTCTGATATTCTGTCCTTTCACCTCTGTCTCGCGCCTCTTGTCTATTGTGTGGTCTATTTACTGGAGGTGAGAAAGAGACGGCTGGCTCTCTTCTCTTCATCCCCATCCTTGTATCTGATGGAATTTGCATGGGACAAGGGATGAGAGGTTCAGGAAGAGATAAAAAGAAAGTGATAGACGAGAGAAGGAATCGGAATAGACTAGGAGCAGTGAGGTCCTCCTTGTTTATACAAAGGAATTAAGTAGAAGTGAAGGGAACTAAAAAGGCAATGGATCAGGAACGAGCACCGCGGAGCAGGCTGGGGGAAAAAAAGAGCGGCATCAAGAGGCTGCAAAATGGATTTCGCCCATCCACAGTAGGATTGGCCCCCGAAACTCACCGTGAATGCGAGGCCCTGGCTTGGCCAGGTTCGGCAGAAAGCTCACCTCGAAGTAGCAGTGGATGCGGTAGGCCACCTGGGAAAGCCGTCGGGGTTCGGCGTGTCTGATTGGCGCTCTTTTTTCTTTCCTTTTTTTCTGGCCCGCTCCCCCCCCCCCCCCCCCCACAAAAACAAAAGGAGAAACTGTCACCAACAATAAGCAAAGAAGATAAATGGCCGTGGCTCAGAAAACCAATGGTATCCCATTTTGGTTGGGATTGGTGAATTCACCACCCATTTTAGGCTTCCTATGTTAGTGGGATTGAACCGACTGTTCACTGGGGGCTAACCGGAACTTTTCGGATTTTGAAAAGCCCATGGCCAAATGAAATCCAATTCGCACCACAAAAAGCGAAACCCTGGTTTCTGATGATTCTCCTGCTAATAGGATTCTCCTGGTTTCATAGGTGGTGATTTCTGATAATAAATAGGTTTAATAGGATTCTCCGGGTTTCATAAGAAACCGGGGGATTTTCTGATGATTCTCCTGGTTTCAGAGAACCTCTGGGCCCGCGCTTCGAGGAGATCCCCGGGGCGCCGGGCGCAGAACTTGGCGAAGTCCCCCAGGTCTGCGGCGGAGACCTTCGCCTTCCTGGCCGAGGCTTTGGGAAGCGCTGGGTTTTTGACCACTCCGCCGCGGCTTTTCTCGTGGGTTTTGTTGGCAGCCCGGTGGCTACCGGTGGCTTTTTTTGGGAAGGGGAAAGGGGGGGGGAGTTCCAATGTGTTTTTTTTGGAGGGGAGAGGGGTGTTTTTATTGGCTTGGAGCGCGGTGGCTACCCGTGGTTTTTTGGCGGGTTTCAACCCCATCCGTCTACAAAAGCCAGAGGCTCACCTCCCCAAACCGCCCAATTTTCAATCTACAAGACGCGGGTTGTCCGAACTACCCATTTCCAGATACCGCAAGCAGCCAAAAAGCGCTCAGATACCTCTGAGGAAACGCTTTCTGGGCCATACCAAACTTCTACTTATAACGGGGCAGGTTCGGGACTGGTGGTTGAAACGGGCCCGACCTAGTGGAGTGGCGCACCCAAAACAAGCTTGGGGTGGAGTCCAGGTGGCTGGTTTAGCCCTGATTTGGGGATGACCCTTTCGAAAAGGAAAAAAAGTGTCACTTTGAATCAAAACAAGGTGTCATGCTAAATCGGTCGATTGTTCTACTAGTTTAAATGCGCTGTCAAGTTGAGTCTAGAAGTGTCACAATGGGGATACCACCTTCGGGAACTCGCCCGTCCGTTTGCCAAAAGAAAGGACGGCACGTGATGATAAGCGTCACGCCTAAAAAAACAGTCCATGTTCAAACAACTATACCTTAAGGAAACAGGACATCTGTTCACGACCTCAAGTTCGGGTCCCAAACCAAACTCCTCCCCCCCCCCCCCGCCCATCCCCATCCCCATCCCACCCCATCCCCTCACCCCCTCCCCGGCTGGCAGCGCACTTGCTCAGCTCTTTGTAGGCGTTGAAGACGCACTCTGCGACGGAGGGGTCCTGGAACCTCAATCCGAATCGCGGCTTGTTCCAAGATCCTTAGGCGGAGTCTAGAAGCACAAAATGTGTGTATATATATATATATATATATCTGTGTATGTACGTACGTACGTACGTACGTATGTATGTATGTGTGTATGTACGTGCGTGCGTGCGTGCGTGCGTGCGTACGTACGTATGTATGTATGTACGTACGTATGTACATACGTGTATATATATATATATGTCTATGTATATTTATAGTTATATATATATATGTCTATATATATATTTATATATATATATATATATATGTATTTGTATTATGTGTGTGGTTGATGTTTGCTGGTGGGGGACCACTTTCTGCAAAACAAGCCGCAGGTGTTTTGAGCGCAGTCTGAGAAAGGCTCCTCATCTGTGCTCAGCTATCCCTCCAAATGCCGAGATTCCTGTTGATTTCCTCTACCTGGCTTCACCAGAAACTCCCAGCTGCTTCCGAAGCGTCGCCATCAGCTGAAGGCCTCGTATCTCTGAAGGTCAACACCTGAATTCATGAGCTTCAGACTGCGGAGGGTGATATTTCCACCAAGAAATGTTTGTCTCCCCACAAATGCCGCATAGATCCAGAGATAAAACGAATCCGACATGCCCAATGTGGGCATGAGTCTTAATTGGGGTGCCTTGGTGGCATTGATCAATGGGACTTGTGTCCACCAACAAAACTTGAGGCTCATAACCACCATTCTGTCAGGCCCTCCCTTCCTGAGCTCGGCTCTTTTGCTCTCCCGCTCCGATCGGGCAAGAGTCCTGCCTCGGTGCTTCCTAGAAGAAGCGCCAAGGGATGCGCGAGCGCGCCTCCGCGGCACAAGTCCGGAAAGGACGCACAGGCGCACAGACTATCTGCGCCTGGACTTCATGGCAAAATCAAATGTGATGAGGGAACCCTCTTAAGGTGGTCGATTGAAGTTCGCATTCTGCGCCTGACCCATGTATCGGGCACGCGCTCGCAAGAGTCTTCAAGCTGGCCCTCGCTTCGCGAGGGCCAATTTGGTTCCCAAGGGGGAGGGTTTTTTCTCGCCCAAAACGAGCTGGCGGCCTGCGCGACCAAAAACGGCCTGTCAGGCTGCCAGGCGGTCAGGCAACGTGTGCTATGGGCTAACTGCAAGTTCTAGGATCTGCTTGTTGAAGGGAAACATGTCCCCTGCTTGTGAGAGGTCAGAGTTCAACCGCGCGACCCAAAAAGTCATTCTTCAGACGAGCAGTCCCTGCTACTCCAACAGGCATTGAACAAGCACATGGTGAGGAGTGCTTCGCTTGGTCGAAAGACCAACGTGTCGCTTTGCCCCGTTTCCTTTATCTCTCCCAAGAATATCGAAAAGCGAGCAACAGCGACTGAATCAGCCTCAGGGTCTCCACTTACTGGCCAATTCAGCCTCTCGCAAACAGCATACTCTGGTCCCTATTGCCAGTTGAAGCATGATGCTATTTCGCCACGGGTCAGAAGCCTGTACCCCCGGTGAACATCCCAATCCCCACAAAAAAAGGACTGGGTGGTGCACCTACCCCAAAATGGTATCATCAATTTTGACCCATACCCACTTCCGGAAGGATTCGGCCTTTCAAAAACAGCTGCTCGGGCAAAATTCGCGGATTGTTGCATTGCTTGACAAGTCTCGCCCCTATGAACTCCTGCACCCCTGGGTGTGTGTGTGTGTGTCAAAATGTGTGCCTCTACAATGGCTGGTGTCCTTTCGGTTTCCCTTGAAAACGACCCAGGAAAGGCCAACTCCGGAGAGTTCTATGCAGGGAGCCAAAACCAACTCCTTGCCACGTTTTCCGTGGGGCCGTTTTTGTTTTCCAGCCAAGCACCCCAGGCACATCAGCCTTTGGGGCGAACACCAACCGCGCGCCGCGGCTCGCCCTCACCGCTTGAGGCTGGCGGCGTAGCGGGAGAACGCGGCCGGGCCGCCCCCGCCGGTCTGGGTACGCCGGTGCTTCCGCAGGATGCTCCGGAGCTCGTCGAACTGCCCCAGGCTCAGGCGCCGCCCGTGGCCTCGAGACGGACAAGGAAGAACCACCAAGTCGGAACATTTTTTCCTTGAACGGGCCCCCAAAAAAATATATGTCCAACTGATGGTTTTCTTTCAGGGAATGGACTCACATATTTCTTGCAGATTCTCAGGGAATGAGAAACAGGAATGACCATCAAAACCATCCAACTGCTGGTCGCCTTCATTCGAGAATCCCCCAAAACCGGGTGCATTCCAAGACCCGGAAACCGGGTGCATTCCCTCCCTGTCGCCGCATGTCTTCCGGTATCCCGATCCCACAAGGGCCTGAGGCCCATCTGTGTCGACAGATGTTGACCCACGCAACCAACGCAACCCCGTCCTTTTTTTCTCAGAGGGGGGGGGGTGTCCCTTCGAAAAGTGATGATTCCCCTAAACCCAGGGACACCGCCCTATGGGGGCAACTTTCTCCCCGAACTGGCTGATGTCCCTCTCAGAACCTTCCCAAAAGGGTACCCTCAAAAGTCTGCCTGCATAGAACTCAAATAGCATGGGACAAACATTCGCGGCCAACCAATCTCCCCGGACATCCGCACCCGACGGATGGGCATGTCCCCTAACCTTAGACTACCCTTTACGGTTCGATACCTTGAAGATCGCACCTGATGTTTAGACGATCCAAAAGTGGCAAAGGAAAGCTGGAACAGACATCTGGCTGGTCGAGTCACCTGACAACATAAGCTCAACTGGTGTGTCCAAGGCTCCGATTCTCACCCAAAAACTCCCCACGTTTCGCACGGATCCTCACGTCTTTTCGGCCCAATTTGGGCCCCCGGGCTGCGATCGAAGGGCATGGCCATCTTTGCCACGTGCTGGCGCGCGGGAGAGGGCGAAATCCACACTGCACCAGGTGGGAAGCAACAGTCGGCGAATCTACAGGTAGTTTCCATTGAAACGATCGATCCACTTTTTCTGGAGCTTCCCTTGAAAGGAAATTTCCCCCAAATCAAAGGTCGATCAATCTACTGGTGGTGTCCATTGAATCTGTCACTTTTGGCAATGGCTCGGAAACCCTGTTTGAGGATGGCCTTTTTGGATAGGGGTTGGAAACCACCCATGGGGGCAAATGGCTCGGACACCCGGCTCTTGGTTTCAAACTCGTCTCCCAGCTTCTCGAGAGCTTCAAAAACTCGGCAGCCACCGCACTCGCCTGCGACTTGGCCAGGAGCTCAGAGTAGGAGCTCCTCGCTTTGTTGACATCTGGGGCTCGTTCCCGTAGCCAAACCATCATGTGCATCTTGCCGGGTTCAAGAGATGCAGGGAATGAGAAATGGAATGACCCCGGGAAAAACGACCTCCTTTCAGGCAATTTGTAAGTTCCACAAGGTTTCACAAGGACCCCGGTTCCACCAATGATGTTCGACAATTTGTGGTTTGGTTGCTGAGCAACCCTTGGCTTGGAAAGGACGCTTTGAAACTTTGAGCTAAGCTTCCCTACGCCACCACACATGGTCTGGCAAGGAAAGGCTTCCGGGGGACATCTGCAACCTTCCGGATTTCTGAGTGTTGCACCATGTTTGTCCTGAACGAACATGTTGCCAAGCATAACCTTTCCCTGCTTACTTGCTTGACACCGATATGTCTCTTTTGAAGGTACCTTCTTGGGGCGGTTTTTGAGGACGACCAAAAGGAAGCCAACCTTGTGGGGGGAGTGGGGGGTGGGGGGTAACGCTACAAGTGCCACAGACTGCGATGCCAGAGAACTTCGCAATGCTGAGAAACCTTCCCCGGGGTCTTTGGCTCAACATCTTCCGAGCCTGTGCGCTGTTCGAACAATACGGGGCCCTTCCAAAAATCCCAAGAGAGGTCTGAAAAATCGTGGGATCCTTTTCTTCGAACAATACGGGGCCCTTCCAGTGCTGATTCTAAAGTGAATCCGATGTGAGCAAAAGGGCTCATTTTGATTTTCCGGTACCCGAAAATGCCTCCGGCTCGCTCCGTCGAATCGGTCTGGGGCTGCCGGCAGCTCGGCATGCAATCCGGTTTGATCCGCAAGGCTAGGACCTCGGTCGCAAGGGTTGGTGTCCAATTGGCTTGCCATTGAAGCCAACCAAAACGAAAATTGGGCCACCCTCAAACAAAAGACAGACCCACTCAACTTGGGATGACTGGGATTAGTCTCCTGGATCAAAACATATCTTGGCTATGGGCAAAATAACCCCTCCACAACCCCTTGGTTGCAATATGTGCTTGCATTCGTAGGAATCTCCCAGGGTTTTCTCGTCGCGCCACCTGGGATTACTGACCATCCCTGTCCTGAGCAACTGGGTGTTCCTGAAATTGGTCCGTTTCTTGTCATTGATGCTTGTCAAGCTGTCAAACGTGCGGCACCTTCTTCGGACTCCCTTGAAACACGGACATGTCACCAGAGCTCCAAAGGGGCCCCCCACTTTTGGGCGAGCTGGTTTAGTCCGAGAGAGGGGGGGGGGTGTCTTTCTTCACCGCTGGCGCGATGCAAGCAAGCAAGCAAGCAAGCAAGCAAGCAAGCAAGCAAGCAAGCAAGCAAGCAAGCAAGCAAGCAAGCAAGCAAGCAAGCAAGCAAGCAAGCAAGCAAGCAAGCAAGCAAGCAAGCAAGCAAGCAAGCAAGCAAGCAAGCAAGCAAGCAAGCAAGCAAGCAAGCAAGCAAGCAAGCAAGCAAGCAAGCAAGCAAGCAAGCAAGCAAGCAAGCAAGCACAGGCAGGCAGGCAGGCAGGCAGGCAGGCAAGCAAGCAAGCAAGCAAGCAAGCAAGCACAGGCAGGCAGGCAGGCAGGCAGGCAGGCAGGCAGGCAGGCAAGCAAGCAAGCAAGCAAGCAAGCAAGCAAGCAAGCAAGCAAGCAAGCAAGCAAGCAAGCAAGCAAGCACAGGCAGGCAGGCAGGCAGGCAGGCAGGCAGGCAGGCAAGCAGGCGGGCGGGCAAGCAAGCAAGCAGGCAGGCAGGCAGGCAGGCAGGCAGGCAGGCAGGCAGGCAGGCAGGCAGGCAGGCAAGCAAGCAAGCAAGCAAGCAGCCAGGCGGGAGGCAAGCAGACAAGCAAACGAACAATCTAGCCTGGGTGCGAAAGATACCCAAGCCGGTTGTGCAAGGCTTCCGGGCAGGAAACTCCGTAGTGGCTGAAAAGCTTCTTCGCCTGGCGGACATGCAGGAAGGAGAAACCAAAATTGCCTCTGTCTCAATGTGAAGCACAGGGTGTGGTTCCAATCATTCGGTGGGCTCGTTGAAACGGAAACCATGGAGCTTCCAAAGGGAAACCACTCATTCAGTGGTTTCCCTATTCGCTCTTCAGAGTCTAGTAGACCAGGTGTGCCACGAAGGGGCTACAGCCCAATGCGACCACCAGGGTTGCTCCCATTGGAAACAAAACGCTTCACTTGCCCAGAAAATGGGAACGAAAGGGGACTCTGTTGACCAGTTGTCTTATAAATGAAAACCCCCGGCAAAGCAAAGCACAAAAAGGCACCTCTCGGAGGGTGTGGGTGAGGATGCTGCTTCCCAAGTCTTGACGGGCCATCGAGGGATCCGCAAATCCCAAGCTCGAGCATGAGCACCAAGCAAGCTCTTCCAGCAACAGCCTTGACTTTGAGCTGCTGTTCCCCCACTTCGGTGTGTCTTTTCTGGGGGTAGCGGGTAGCTTGTCTGGGATCGTTTTCAAGGGAAACCCGAGGGAAACCGCCACCCACTTGACGTCGGGTGCGAAGCTGAGCACATGTAAGGAACCAGGAAGGAATAGTTGCAATTTCTGGAGGGGCAAAAGCAGGACACTTGCAGTACCCTAGCGAAGTGAAGGATGGGATCCTCTGGGTCGAGAAATTCCAAGGGAAAAGGGTGGAACAGAACGTAGCCCTCATTTTGTCAAGCCAACACACCCTAGATGTTCCACCATTGGATAAAAGAGAAATGCAAGCCGTTGTAGAACTCAAGGCTGTGCCGTTCATGCCTGGCCCCCAATTGTGTGACACGACCGTCATAGAGATAGACGTCCCAAACCCCGCCCCCACCAGCCCAGAATTCTAATTTTAAACAAATGCTCGTAGCGTGGACTGGCCGTGCTTCTTGCATCACCTAGTTAGTATGTGTCAAGAGAGGGTTTCCTTGATGACGTGTAAACGGCTGCGTCTGAACCTCGCGGCTGGTTAATGACTAGGTTCGATGGTTGAACCAGCAAAAGAGGTGTCTCAGGGGGATCTACCTCAGCTTTTGCCCACCAAAAAAAGTCAAACGCTCATTCAACTTTCTATCATTAGTGACCCCTCTAAAATGCCACATAACTTGCTGGTGCTCAGTAGGGAATGACCTTCCCCGGGTGTTGGGCATGAACCATTTTGGAGATTCCCTTAAAGGAAACCATAGGGCACGGTTATTCTCAGGGTCATTTCATTTCTCATTCCCTGCCTATCGAACCAGCAAGATAATTGGGTATCTCCTTTTTAGTGGGCCGAAAACCACGCTTGATCTCCCTTTGGTTCCCATTACGACCAAAAAGTTCCCCAACTCCAAAACAAGGCGAGCAGCCCAAATCAAGGGACCACCCTACGAGAGGAAGCTGTGAGGATTTCACCGCGGGAGGTCTCTTTTTTTAGGGCTGGCCCGTTTTGTTTTGGAGTTGGTTCCCCTTTCTTGGTCGTTGTTAAAGGGAACAAAAACGACAACTGCGCACAATCTTTGCAAAGAAAATGAAAGACAGCAAAGCAACAGAACATGAAAAACAGCGCAGCAAAACGATCAAGCATGTTTTTTTTTTTTTGGGGGGGGGGCAGAAAACCCGGTCCTTTTGTTAAAAAGGATCCCCTATTTGGCCCAGAAAGTCGCCCAGATCTCACCCTGCCTCGGGCTTGGTCGGGGACACGGGCCGCGCCTGCCGGCGCCTGAGCTGCCGCGGATCCCGGCTCGATGCCCCCTCCGAAGAAGAAACAAAAACGACTCGGGTCTTGGCAAAACCAAAGCTGCAAGTTGACATCTTTGTTATGTTTTTTCACTCTGACATGGTTTTTGTCTGTGTTCTTTTTGGTGTATAACTCTGTTGAAAGCCAGCTCTGACCCACATAAAGACCCCTAGGTCTTGTCCAAAAAAAGAGCGAGTTGATACGGAAAGTTTCGGCACTCCGCCGAAAGCTTGGGCACGTTCTTGGGATGTGAAAGCCCGTTCAAACACGCGATGCGTCAATGTAAGGGACAAAGTCGCAGCTTCACACTCTGCAAAACATCCTTGCAAACTTGGCTCGTTCGAAAATGCTGGCGCGACACCAAGTATCTTCCAGTTGGACACTCGACAATTGGTCCCCAACCCCGAGCTCATCCAGGGAATCGAAGTACGGAAGAAATCTGTTCCAGACCAAAGGGAAATCAAACATCGTGGGAGTCCCTCCATCTTGAGACAAACGAAAAGCAAGGCTGAGTCTTGTGTGGGACAAGCCTCTTGAGTCAGGAGCAAATCGAAGCAACATGCCCAGTCAAATAGAAACCTCCTCAACTAACCAGTCTCCATGCTCCTGTTTGCTGTTGTGTCCTGCACGCAATTTGTGTCATGTATACTGCTCTTCTCCTTGTACAAACTAGGTGTTGAGCGCCACTGTGTTCTGCATGCCAAGCACATGTCTGCCTGCAGAATTCTTCTCGGTGCATCTACGTAACCAGATACACATCAGGCTGAATGGCCTCAGCGATGCGTCAGTCCCAATTTTGAGCTCATCCGAAGCGAAGGCTCAGAACTGGGGCGCCCTTTTTGTTGCGCCCAAATCGAATCATATCGGCATGGGCCCCTCATCCAAATACATTCCTTCTACATGGCCGCCTGTTCACTGCCAACCTGTCCCTGCCGGCAAAAAATCGGGCCTCAAAGAGAAACCAGCCCAGGGCCTGGACAACCCCATGTGGGTGTGGCTCAAAATTTAAGAGCTAGCGTTACGCAGGTTTTGGTCTTTGGTTCCACTTACCAGGGGGGCATTTTAGGTGCCGGTTTGTTGAGCCACAGCCATGTCGTTTTCTTGTGTACAACGCTTCAGTCGCTTCAGTCGCTTCAGTCGCTTCAGTCGCTTCAGTCGCTTCAGTCGCTTCAGTCCGTGACTTGTCAACTGCCCAAAGCGTGAGTCTCAGCTGTAAGTCACAGGCAAAAAAAATGGGGATACAGGCCTCATGAAGCCTTACTGCTGATCACAAAATAGTGTGTGTGTGTATATATATATATATTTAAACAAAAACAAACAAAAAAGTGAGAAAAAAATGCTCATGGAAACCTTCATGGGAATGAAGTCACATCTCCTTGGATAGGGCATCCCCCCATTCTTTCTACTCATCGGACTGGAGAACTTGCTGCATGATATCCATCTGGAGAACGTGCTTCCCCTTTAACAGGGCTCCTAAAGAATGCCTCCTTCAAACCTCACCCCCAAGTTTGAGGAATCTAAAACCACCCAAAGCGGTGAACAAATCGCTGTGAGGGACTTTCTGGGGATCCGGGTCGCAACAAAATTGAATCGACCAGGGCCCAAAGAAGGCACCCCTTCAAAGCTTCCCACAAGACCAACCCCGTCGCTCGCAAAACGAGCCCTTTGGGCCCCAGGCGGATTCTTCTTCAACACGCGGAGGCCCTGAAGGGGCAAGTGCGTTGGACTTGTCAAGAAACAAGATTGGTGGTTTGGACCCCCCCCCCCCTTCCCCCCGATGCCTGAACTTTCAAAAGGCACGCAGCTCAGGCCAATTGACAGCCGCGCCGACTGACCCCAAGCAAAAGCGAGTTTTGATCATGGCAGAAATGCAGGAATCCTCACTAAATGGCGGCAAGGGCTGACATCTTGCTATCTTTCTGAGCCTGTGAGATAGAAGTTGGCTTCTGTGAGACGAATGCTAGCAGTTTGCTGCAGGAGTTCTGACCATGGCACATGCATTGTGGACGGAATATGTTCAAATTTGGCAGGCGTGAAGAGAGGGGTGAGCATGGCTTCAAAGTACTATGAATACAAGCAGTTTATTTTAAACATATAGACATAATGTACATGGATATCATGTGTGTTGCTTTGTTTGTCGGGTCTATTCGGATTGCCAGCTCCTCTAAGTTTCACACATCCCGCCTTGTTCACAAATCAAAGCCAAAAACAAAAAAAACTTGTGAAGCACGATTTACCAGGCCCTTCCAAAGGTCTGCGTCCAAATGCGAAATGAGACCCAGGAAATGGGTTCCTTTTGGTTTCAGATTCCGCCCCAACAAGGGAGCACACACCCAGCTGTTCGAACTCTCGGACTCACCGACCGGGAAAAAACCGATGGCCTCGGAGCAAAAGAAGGTGCGATCCTCATAGAGGTCCTCGTGGGTGACCTCGAAGCGCTGGCCGCAGCGAACGCGACGGAATTTCGTGAGAGGAAATGCAAATGCGCACAGAGAGGCAGAGAGAGAGAGAGAGAGCGAGACATAGATTCAGAGGGAGAAAGAGAGAAACAAAAAAGCAAGCAAGCAAGCCAGCAAGCAAGACAGAAAGAGAGAGTGAGAGAGAGAGAGAGAGAAAAAAAAAAAAGAAAAAACAATAAATAAATAAATAAATAAATAAATAAATAAAGAAAGAAAGAAAGAAAGAAAGAAAGAAAGAAAGAAAGAAAGAAAGAAAGAAAGAAGGAAGGAATGAAGGAATGAAAGGCAGGAAAAAAGAAAGCACAAAACAAAGCCAAAAAGAACGGCACAAAGAACAAGAGGAAGGCAGAAGGAAAGGAAGGAAGGAAGGAATGAAGAAACAAAGAAAGAAGGCACGGCAAAAAGAAAGAAAGAAAGTAAGGAAGGAAGCAAGGAAGAGAGAGAGAGAGAGAAGAAAGAAGAAGGAGAAAAAAACAAAGAAGAGAAAAACACACGGAGAGAGAACAGAGAGAGCACGCTGCAAAAAAAAAACACTCCCCTTTGATTTCACCTAGGTCACCTTGTTTAGACGTGTTTTGACCATGGAAATCGAGGGGCCGCGAGGTAGCTCTCTGAGCCTTTCGCCATGTCCTTCATCCAGAAGTTCTTGAAGCGGTAGCTCCTCGGCGCGGCGGAGTCGCTGAGTACTGAGGCTTTCTTGGTCCCTTGGCTCAAACCGAGTCAGGTGATTTCACCACAAAAGGGCGGCACCCCCAATTGTCCCACCTTGCGTCTAAGTCAGGTAGAAAACACCCCCCAAATGGTCTAGACCAAAACGATTGGCTATCCTAGACGGAAGCCATTGGGGTTGAAGACATCCCAGTCGGTTGAACGAAAAGCTAAGAGGACCGTTTCATCGGGAACGAGATGTCCAGCTGTGTCGGGGATACGTTCAGAGGACTTCCATATAAAGCAAACCTTTGGTGATTCTAGTGTGGGCCCTTGTTGGGTGTTTCAACAAAGGGGACACAAAAGAGGGACCTATCACGCCTGTTTCAAAATTGATACCTGAAAAGGGGGACCCACAAAGCGCCTTAACAGATTCTAGCCATCTGTGAAAGGCTTGGTGCCCTTTAGCTGCCTATTCAGAGAGCCCCACGAATGGGACAACGAGAGTGTTCAGCTTATCTGGCCATACCAACAAACATCAGGGAAAGGCCTTCCAAAACGCGGGTCATGCGGGCTGCTTGCTTGAGGCCAGCGGCTGCTTCTTCAGGCTGCCCTGGAAGTACTGGATGCCCTTGTCAGTCTGCAAGACCTCCCAGAAAGGACAGGCCCAAATCGAAAACATGCCCTTGAGGAGTTGTCATGATTGGGAAATCACAACCCCCCCCCAATCTTGGACACACACCCACGTGCGAATCCAAGAACCTGTCAAAGTGAGGCAAACGCACATACACACACACACACATTCACACTCAGCCGAAACCGGGAGCAAGGGTGTGACTAGGTGTCCTGCGGAAAAAAAAAAGGGGGGGGAAAAAAAAACAAACGTTTTGGTGAAGAGGGCACTACTCTTTGCAAATCGCCAAGCAAACACGCGTTCCGCAATGTTCCCTGGCGTCAAGGGAAACTCCAGGCCACAGTGAAATTCCAAAAGCCAGAAGCAGCCACTACCAACACTGTGCGCCGGTGGCGATGGCCCAAGGCACAGGTCAATGGCAAGACGGCACAAGTAGCACACCAAGTAATAAGGGTCCTATGAAAGGACAGGCTGAACCATGGCTCCTTTCAAAGGACGGGTGAGAGTCTTCCAACAGCAACTCCCCACATTTTGTTGGCATGCGCAACTCCAGGGTTTTGCGCGCACACACACACACACTCACACACTTTCATGATTCTGAATCTTAAATAGCAGTCAACAACTCATAAAAACCACGATACCAGGCAATCTTGGAATTTGAAATGTGTATTGTCAATACAAAAAAAAATGTTTGAAAGAAAGAACCATACATGTGTATATATATATATATGTATCTGTATGTATGTATGTATACATGGACGTGTCTCAAAAATCGCAGAATCCCAAAATGGCGATGTTACTTTAGTTCCCGTCCAAACCGCCCAAAACATGTGCCCTCACAAAAACAAACACGCCCGCATATACATAGGTGGCCTTCTGGAAAAATCGATGGCTTTGGTACATGGAATAAACCTCATCTAAACCAGTGGCATCTGTTTTTTAACCAAGCTAACCTAAAAGGACACCTATGTATATTATGGGTGTGGGTCGAAAAGCTGTAACAAAATGGCTCGGTAAATGGAACCAAAGGCTAAAACCTGTTGAACCCAGCTGCTTAATTGTGAGCCACGCCCATATGTATATTGTTTTAATCAAAAAAGAGCCAAAACCCATATGTACAAAACAACAAAGAAGAAAAACATATTATAGAAATATTGCAAACTATATGGAAATATTGCAAACTGTTCGACCTAAGCCTCATTGCCAGGCCTGGTCCGTGAGCCGCATCTTCGGCCCCGAGCCATTCTTCCGCCAGTCCTGGCGTCGGTTTTGATTGGGAGCCACCCGGGCAGGGTATAGAGACCTTCTGTTAGCAGGGTCACCCAACCAACTGCCCAACCAACCGAACAAGCAAATAACCCAGACAAACAAACAAACAAACAAACAAAAAAAACTCCCAATTTGGCCCTTGTTCCGCTGGTCCACCCACTCGTGCCTCGAACGCGTTGATCTTCTTCTCGTTTTCCGCAGCTCGATCACGGCGCCGCACCGTCCTACCCCAGGCGATCTGGGAACAAAACTGGAAAGAGGTGGCCATCTGAGTCGTAATCAAAACCCAGTACTCAAATGCTCGTAATCCCAGAACCATGCTTCAAGAATCAAGAAGGCGGATATCCGCAGCTATTTATGGCAAGGGGATCGTCCCTCACTAAGCTTCATCTACCCGAATCAGTTTTGATTGTGGCTCAGGCGAGTCTCTCAGCTTCCCCCCAATAGGTGGTTTGGATTGGTGGCTTGGTGCTTAGGGGCTGGTGGGTCTTGTGAGCCGTTTTGCAATCCACAGGTATCCCAAGTAAAACCTGCTACTTGTTACGGTCCCCCAGTTATCCTCTACAAGAGCCAGGGGGCTCAAATCCCAAACCAATTTACCTGAGGCTAGTCTCTTGATCTCAAAATAAAATTACAAACCGGCCACGAGAAAGCCTACCGGAAAACACCCTCGAAAGAGTTCCAAATTAAAATTCATACCCAAAACCATCCTCCCAGTGCCCCTCCAGCTCCTCACCACTCATCAAGCCCCTTGCCCTCCATTCGCGCTACAAATGGAGTTCAGCCTGAATTTTGGAACGTTTCACACATCTCACCTAGTCAGGAAAAGGACCCGCTTACTTTGATGAGAAAGGCCGCAAGGAACTTGAGTCGTTGGGGACCCACAGCAAAGAAGCATGGAAGAGCACCGACGTCCTTAGCCGCAAAACTGTGGGCGGGGGGGGCGGGGCAACCCAAAAATTCAGGTGGAATCTGGACAGGTTTCCCAACCTCCGATCAAACCGTCCTCAAAGCCCAGGAGGCTTTGCCCTCAGTGCCCTGAATGGAGAAGAGCACTGGCACGCGCCTCGGTGATGGAGGGAGCGTCTGAAAAGCCGAAAAGCCAAAGTCAAAAACGACAGAAAGACAAAGACGGACAAAGAGAAAGGGGGAAAGAGAGAAGACAAAACAGAGTTGAGGGACAGAGGAGGCAGGAGAGGCAGGCAGACCGTTGATCTTGTGCTGAAAAAAAAAACTGCGAAACAAACGACCAAAAATGTGTTTCTTTTTTAGTTTCCCCTTCAAAACCACCCCATTTGTTGCGTGTACTCTCAGACCATGGCTCTGCCTTCCGCGCCTGGTGGAAGCCCACGCGGCGTTGCGGGGCAGGTCGCTCTTCGGCAGCGCGGTGGTCACGTAGAGATCCCCCGGGGGCAACTGGGCCGAAGCGTCCGCGCCCAGTCGGGGACCCAGGCGGAGTCAGAGGCGCGCCGAGTCGGGGGCCCAGGCGGAGTCGGGCATATTCAATTGGTCGACCCAGAACATTGCTTCAAGAATCAAGAAGGCGGAGATCCGCAGCTATTTATGGCAAGGGGATTGTCTCTTAAGCTTCATCTACCCGAATCGGTTTTGAGCACGTGGCTCAGGTGTCCCTTGGAGTCGGAGGCAGGGGAAGGAATCCCTCGGCGTTTTTACAGGCAGTCAGGAGGGGAGGAGTGATCCCTTTGACCTGGGAATGTTTGAATCGAGGGGATGACTCTGACAGGAAAAAATCACGGGAGCATTTGTATGTGATCCATGTTTCAAGGGAAACCAGGAGCATTTCTCTTCAATTCCGGGGATCCAGGATTCATGAATGTTCCTGTCGCTTTCGGGCACCGCAGATTCTGAAACCGTGGCTCGGTTGCTGTTCGTCAACATGAAAATAAATCGACGAACTGGCAACCCGAGCCGGACGCGAACCACCAGGAATTGGCCAAAGGCCAACCATAGGTGTCCAATGACTGGCACCCACCTGCAACCAGTCCAAACTGCCGCCAAGAAAGGCCAGTGCATCTGAATCTGGACTTGACTAGCCTGTCCTAAATGTGTCTGACATGCAACCCCCAACCCCCCGAAATCCCAAGCCCGGCGCCAGGTTCTTGCTCCAGGGCTTCACACCTCCGGCTCGCAGATAGCTCCAAAGCACCCGCCCATCGCAAAATCCACCGGGGGGGTTGGCACCCTCCGAGACCCATGGCAAAAACCAAAGGGCCTGGTTTCGGGGGGTCACCCGTTTTGAGACTAGATCTGCCCTAACTTGAGTGTACACTCCCATGGAAGCTGACAGTATGCTCTTCTTGGAGAAAAAGGCCCTCCTCTTTTTGGATGGTCTTGAAAAATCAGCAATGCAAACGAGCAATTGTCTTTGAGGGCTGCTTGTACGGAAAACATCCCACGTTCAGGGGAGCTAGGCAAATGATGCAATCGGGACTTCGCACATGAAGGCGTCTATGAAAAGTGGATCGCTCTTTGGCAGACGTCTGCTCCTGGAACACCCCGAGAACTCTCCCGCTTCCGGAATTTTGCCTGGCTGCTAACCTGTCAAGCAGATGTAAACACTAGGACAAATGTCTGATGGTCAAACACGGAAAGCAGAAGCGACTGATCAAGTCTTGTGGGTGGCAGCATACATCCTGGATGCTTTGGAGGTTGCTCGACAGCCGTGGCAAGAATCCTCTTGGTGCAGACAAGGAAACATGTTCCAGCAATCTTCGAGGGAGCTGTCATACAATGGCATGCACATGCACCTGGCAAAAACCAGGGCAAATGCTTTGCAAGTTGCAAGATGGCTGTTTGAGCTATCTCAACGCCTACCAACTGAGAGATCAGTCAGGCAGAGGCAAAACGAGCTTCCTCAAATAAGGGAAACGGTACTCTGGGGTGAAAGTAGATGATTTAGGCACCGCATTTATGTACCCACAAGCGGAAACTGTGCCGTCTGCCTTTACCCCGGTGTACCCGTCTTCCGACACCCCCTGTTCCAATGTGGCACATGCTGGTTTGCCTTTTTGCTGAGGCTCTGTACCCTTTCTTGGGCTAATTGAAATATTTTTGGGGTCCTCTCTAAAGCAGGGATCCTTACATTATACACCTGAACATTGCCTTGTAAATGGTGGTGTCCCTTTATTTTGGTGGAAAAAGCCATGTTTCAAATGGGCAAAGTGTATCTTTTAAGGAGCCCTGTAAAGACAAGCCCGATGTTGAGGCCCCGGCCAGGGAGCGTCGTTGATTCGGACCTGGGCCGGGCTTCCTCGCGAGGATTTTTTTCGCCCAGAACCGCCTGGCAAGTCTCAAGAAAAGCGGGCAGCCTGTCGTCGCGAAGGGATTCCTGAAAACATCTTAGGGAAGGGGAACCTTAGATGCCGAAGCCAAGCCACCCTCAGCTCCCTTCCGATCGAGTGGATCGGCCGAATTAAAAATAAAAAGTCTCCGAACTGGTTCCTTGCCACTAAAATGGCACTTCCCAAGACGCGAGGAGAAAATTTCACCTGACCTCAGGGAGCACCCCACAAGAAGCCTTCGAAGCCCCGAAACGACCGCCCCGCCCGAGCGTGCAACGAGCGCCGCTCGCTCGCTCGCTCGCTCAGCCCCCCGGCCAGGTGGAGCTCGCCTGATGGCGAAAGATCGGGTGGACCCCATAGGGCTGTGGCTCAAAAAAGTGGAACCCATTTTTGGGCTGCTTGGATGGAAACAAAGACCAAAACCTGCGTAACCCAGCCCTTAAAATTTGAGCCACACCCATATTCATCAGCTGGCTGAGGGTTGGTTCTGAGCACTCACCCTTGACCGTTCAGAAATGGCTGGTCAAAACCCTGTACCCCTGAACATCACGATGGCAAATGGATGTTCCACCCCAAAATGGGATCGCCATAGGTTATGCAACCCATGGCCATGGGGAGATGGTTCTCCAAAAGTGATGGGTCCAACCAGTAAAGCCAGGGCCCTATGAACAAATGATGCCCTAAACATTGCAAGGGAACAAAAAGAAAGCCCCGCATTTGTCTTTCCCACTGTTTGTGGTTGATTTGCTTGACTTGCAATCTTTAGGGCATTCACCGCACCCGTGGTCACCTGGGTAAGGGAAACCAAGACCTACATCTGTTTTGGGGGCTGCGAAACTACCAGTTCCCACGTCGTTGATGCCATGAAAGGCTTGACAACGCAGCACTTTACAGACAACGGTGCATTTTGCCCTGCATCATGAATGTTAACCGCAATTTCGTAGACCCGGCGGATGAATGGAGCACCCATTCATCAACCAACCCACAACCCTTCACAATCTGCTCCGTTTGTGCCTTGAGTGGCGGTGTAAAATCAGGGACCCTTGATGTTCAACAGAAAAAAGAAAAGAAAAAAAAAAAAAAAGAAAAAAAACTCGGGAAATCCTGCAAACATGAACACAACCAGCCGGGTTTCAAGCTGTCTCGCAAATTCCAGCTGACACCCTGCCAAACTCCCCAGGAGCAAAACCAAGGGTTTGCCACAGTTCGACGGCGCCTCTGGAAGCGTCGGCTCCGAACTGGCCAGCGAGACCACGGGGGGCGACGTATGACCCCACTCCAGAGAGGCTAGAAATTGGATCCTAGAAAAATCAAAGGAAACCAAAGCAATCGCCTTGTGGATTGATTAGAGGCCTGATAAAGTTGGCCGAAGAGGGGCGAGATTCCCGTCCATCTCCTATAAACGACCAGCTTGATACGGGGTGGGATCAAATCGAGTGACTCACCAAGAGGGGATCCAGTTCTCACCCGCAAGACATGGAAAAATGTTTATATAAGACTTGGCCATACAAAGTTGGGCACTGGCAGGGTTCCAACGTTGAACACGAAGCAAAGTTGCCAGCTTGCAGCTGACAGAGACGGATTGAGGGGTAACTGCGTCTTGGCTCAATGGAAGGCGATCGACTCTGTCGGCAAACTCGGAGGTCGCCAGCCCAGCGTCGACAATCGTGACTTGCTGTTCTGCCCATTTTGGGGGGAGCATTCCATTTCTAGTCTCTGCACAGCCCAAACTTTGAGGGAAGGGAAAGGGTCGTCTCTCTCTTTTCAGTCCTTGGGCGCGTTTTCGAGATAAGGCTGTGGCTCAAAAAACCGGTACCAAAATGGAACCCTGGTAAGTGGAAACATGGACCAAAACCTGAGTAACCCCTCCTGTTTAATTTTGAGTCGCAGCCATAACTGTTTGCTTCCAAAAGGACCTGGGAAACTTAAGTCGATGATACACTGACTAATGTGTTGACTCACAGGTTGACCATGTCACTGGCTTGGGTCTTAAAGCCTTACGGTCTTCAAAAAGCCCCCCGCATTCTTGTACCTATGCAAGGAAGGGGAATGCCATGCTCGCAAGCACTCGACCTTTATTGGAAAGGACACGGAGAGTGAGGCCGTTGGCATCTCCTTTTCAACTGTCCGATGAATCAACCCCAAGTTGATCAGCCAGCGCGGTCCCATAAGCCATGAATCACCGTGGATCACCGCTGAAGTGGGAATCCTAGTTGATTCATCCGCCAAGGACATACCAATCAGAGCTTCCCTTTGCTTCCATAGGGTGCTTTTCGGGGGGGAGGGGGAGACCCCTTTTCTACATAGAAACCAGAAATGAACCCACACTCGTGTGGGCCCATTCCCATCAGACAAACGTATTACATTTCAATCCATTTCGGGAATGTTAAACTCGTGGTACCCTAAAATGGCTGGTGTCTTTTGGCTCAAAATTCACGACTTAGGGTTACGCAGGTTTTAGTCTTTGGTTCCATTTAAGAAGGTGCCATTTTGGTACCCTTTTTTGACCCACAGCCTTTTGGGTCCTTTGAGGAAACCCAAACGGGTTGACGCACCGATCCCCAAGGTCGACGCAGACCGCCGCGTCAACACGCGAGAAAACCGCGGCGCGCGCTCCGCGCCCCAGAGATGGCATGGTGGAGCTGCGGGCACTCGGCCTCCTGCCATGGTGTTGTTGTTGCTTTTTTTTTTTTTTTTTTGGGGGGGGGGGGGGTGTTGTTGTTGTTTGTTTGGGTTGTTTTGTTTGTCTGTCTTTTTTCCGGGTTTTGTGATGTGTTTTGTGTTGTCGTTGTTTTGTTTTTTGTTTTTTGTGTGTTGTTTTTTCTTTTGTGTGTTGTGTTTTGTTTGTTTTTTTTGTCAGCCTCCCCTTGCGCTTTTCCGGGGTCTTTTTGGGGTGACCTGCGCGCTACATTCTAACTTAAGTTGGCTCCATTCGGACACATGATCCAAAAGGGAAGCCTAGAATGATCGTTTTGGGGTGACCTCTTGCAAGCGTTCTAACTTAGACTGGCTCCTTTCGGATGCACATCCAAAAAGGGGCGCAAGGGATCGGAAACCGTCTATTGTTAGACACCGCCATTGGCTTCGAAGACCGGAAAAGCGGCCTCACAGAAGATACCAAACGACTTGGCCCTCGTTTCGTAAAGGAGCATTTCAAAAGGTATGTCCACCAGCATGTTGCCAGAGTCGTGCAGAAGAACAGATTACGACATTGTTCTAGCATCAAAGTGGAATCCATCTATTCTAATACAAACCCTGGAACCTTTCTGGAACCCTAGCCGGATCTCCGAACCACTCCGGAGCCTGTCTGGGAATAGAACTCATAGCTTTCAGCTGTTGGGGAAGATGCGCATGCGCGCCACGTAAGCAGAGCGAGCCGAAAAGCTTCAAACCCGACGCAAAGGCTGTGTCTCAAACTGCATGGAAAAGCGGGTCAAAGCTGCTATGCTAGGTGTCGTTGTTCTCCACTACCATGTTTCAAACGAAAAACGACGAGTACAGAAAAGGTGTCGTCCTTGTTTTCTGCTACCTATGTTATACTGTACTTGGTTCAAACGCCGCAAAGGTCTCCAAAAGCGAGCGCACCCCACGCACACATCGAGTGGGGATGCGTCTGGCTTGAGGCCCTGCCTGCGCCAGCGCTCAAACTCCAGGTCCACCGGCGGGGGGATCCCTGGCGAAGTTCGGGCCACTTGGTATAGCACTGGGCTGCCCGGAGATCCGATCTGCTAAAAGCGACTGACTTTTAGTGGGTTAAGTTGTAGCCCCATCTTGGTATGTAAGGTTAAATGGAAAGGCGACCAATGAGAAGCAAACTTCAAGTTGTAAACCCCCATCTTGGCATGTAACTGGCTGCCCGTGTTCAGATCTGCTAAAAGTGACTCACTTTTAGTGGGTAGAATACGGAAACTACAGCTAAACCAAGCTAAGGGGATGGCTGGGAACCGCCAAGATAAGAAATAGCGGTTGGCCGGAAAAAGAAAAAAAAAGAGAGACTCGGCAATGCCGATGCTCAAACTTGAGCTGCCGTTGTGTCTGTTGCATGCTGCACTTGTACCGAAGAGATGCAATTCTCTAGCTGGAGCTGCTGAAGTGAGCTTTCCACACTATCATGTTGGCCAGGCGTGCGAAGCACCACTACACTAAATGACAGGCAGCAAAACTTGATGGTGGCACAAGGTCTCGAGAACAGAAGGGCTATGGTACAACCACACATGTCATGGGCCCCAATTGTATTCAAGAGGATGAGTATTGAGAGGGAGGATGAGTATTGAGTGTAGACAATATCCCTCGGCGACGTGGGAACGCTCTGCGGAGCTTTTGTGGGTGGCTCAGAGGGGGCGCGCAGCTCCCACTGGCCCGACTTGACTTGCGACTCGTAACGGGTCACCTCGCTCGGTGGCCAAAAGGCCATCTTCAAAATGAGTCCTAGGTGAGAAGCCCTGAATGGGCTGGCTTCCTTTTTTCCCTGTCCAGTCTACTTCTGAGCCCCGAATTGCGTGGCCTCCTTGAAAAGTGTCCCTTTCCAACACCAGCCACAACAAGGATTGGGAAACCTCACTCTGGATGAGTGCTGCAGAAAAACAGACGGACCGTCCAAGCATCAAAATGAGTGGAGGCGGGCGAAAGTTGGCCCAGCGCTCGCCTTGATGGAGCCGCTCGTGCTTCTGCAGGCCCGCCCCGGCATCGGACCTGGAGTCAGGCGCGAGCAACGAGCCGGGCGAAGGCAATGAGAATCATTTCGGCAAGTCTGGGGAAGATCCACAAACAGTCAATAATACAAATAATAACAAGCATAATAATCATAATAATCATAATAGTCATAAAAAGGAACATCTGCCCAGTCCCGGTGATAGACATGGTAACCTACTTACACTTTGTGATAAACTTTCTAGTGGATGGTTGGGGCGGGTGAAACTGGGTTGCACGAAAGACGAGAGAAGCATGGAGCGAAACGGAGAAAAGCTATGCGGTGGAAGAAAGGTTTGTTTGTTGCGCTCGCAAACATAGGCCACATGGGTGTGGCTCAAAATTTTCACCAGGAGGGGCAAACCGCAGGGTTTGGCAACCATGTTTCCACTTACCGATCGGGTTCCATTTTGGAATTCCGGTTTTTTGAGCCACAGCCACGTGTCAATTCCAAGTTCAATGCAACTGGCCTTGGAGCAAACATCAGGACGCTTTGGACGGAAGAGACTAGTTCCAGCACCCTGTTCGCAGCTAAGTTCGATTGGGCATAAGGTCTTCCATCTTATCCGCAAATGTGTAGGTGACCTCTAACGGCTTCAAAATTACAAGAAAAGTTCCGCGTGCTTCAAGGGACACAATGACATGAAATGTGGTTCAATTTCGTTTGTTGAAAGTGGCAGCGTGTTCGCCATGCCTGAACTACGAACCACAAAAAGAAAAACACACGTGTTTGGGGGATGTCTCTGCTTTTTCTGCTTCTTCTGCTTCTTCTTCTGCTTCTTCTTCTGCTTATTCTTCTTCTTCTTCTTCTTCTTCTTCTTCTTCTTCTTCTTCTTCTTCTTCTTCTTCTTCTTCTTCTTCTTCTTCTTCTTCTTCTTCTTCTTCTTCTTGATTGTCTTCTTCTTCTTCTTCTTTTTGATTGTCTTCTTCTTCTTCTTCGTCTTCTTCGTCTTCTTCTTCTTCTTCTTGGGTGACATGTGCTTTGTTTCTCCAAGAGATTTAAGCAGACCTCATTCTGATACCTGATATTCTCAGCTTCCCGCTGGCGTCCCATTTACCCTCTACAAAAACAAGGCTACAACTCCAACTCCAAACCGCCTTTTTCCAACCAACCGATGGGTGTCCTGAGATTCTGGGGATCCATGGATTCCTTCTCACCCCCTCCCTGGCAAAGCGGCAAACCAACCCACTCGCGCGCCTCCTCAGGGCCGAGACCGGTGGCACCCCCAGCTGAGTTCGCCACGCCTGCAAGGCACGTAGCAAAGCACGTGGCTGGGCCCAGTGCCTGGTGTGGTCAATGGGGACAAAAAAACACCAAAGAAGAAAAAAACAAAAACAAAAAAAAGGGCTCCACGGTTTGACCAAGGTCGACCTAAACCCAGGGAGTACATTTTATCAGGGAAAAGCTCCTGGGTTTAAGCTTGAGGTGGGCAAAAAGGCGCAGGGAATGACAACCGGAATGAACCGTTTCGGGTGGGGCTGTTTGGCATCTCCATGACCCACCTCTCTTGAACCTAGACCTGCCTATTGGCGGCAGCGAGTTGCTCAGGTGGGTGTTTCGGGCGGCGTTTCGGCCGTGCGAGGTTCAAATCAGAGCGGGTTGGTCCCAGGGGCTGGTTCCTGGCCTCGGAGATGGCCGCTGGTGAAGCTGATCTGTGTGGGGGTTGCTTTAGACATGTGGCTACCGTGATTTTTTTGGGGCTAGTGGTGGTCAAAGCAATCCATACCAAGCCAGACCAATCTCAAACAAACTCGCCGAACAGCGGCCAGGATATCAAGCTTTTGCCCAGGACTCGCCCCTAAGAAACTCAAGCTCCAAACCCGAGTGTGGGGGGCTGCGCTGGCCAGCCAGACAACCAACCAACCAAACCAAGAACCAGGCAGGGAACTAGACCCAACAAAACAGACCCAGTTCAAACAGAACCCCCCGATCCCTTCCTGGTCACCCCAAACAAATCCTGAAGCCATTCGCGCGGGGCTCGAGAGCAGATCTTTGTGGCACAGACTCCTCTAGCTTCACCTCTCAAGCTACTTTTTCTTTTTTTCCGGCCATGGTCGAAAACGCGGAACGCGCCTTAGCCTCTTTTAAAAGAAGCAGGACGGGCTGCGAAGACATTCCTTCCGAAAACTGAGTCAATAGGGTCCAAATCCTATCGCCCAGCACCGCACCTGGGAGCTGGAGCTCGATGGCCTCGGAGCTCGGTCATGTACCAAGCCCCAGGTCATGTCCAGCCGGTTTTAAGCTTGAACACAGAGGACATCCGCGGTTTGAACTTAGATGCCCAGCGGATGTTCGTTCGGGAAGAAAAGGATCGGCCTCCGATTTGTTTGGTTGGTTGAGCTTGAAGGGGAACCCTTCCCCAAAAAGAGGAAGAAAGGGCGCCGCTGGGCAACTGGGTTCGAGAACCCTGCTTAGATACTGTGGATTTGCGAAATCAAGATCATGCACTCGCTAGGACGGATACAAACCCGAACAAAGATGCTGGGGGAAACCATCTACCAACCGGTGCAGGTGTTTTGTTCCACCCACAGCATCCCGGTATCCAGAAGCACGGGGTGTGCCAAAGTGGCAAGCCCATGCCCAAGCTGTCGCTTGGGCTTCAGGGGTTGGCCCTGGGATCTGAAAAAGACGTCAAACCAAATGACTGAAATGGGCGGAGGTCAAAATCAAGCTGGGGCTACGCAGGTTTTGGTCTACCTTTCCATTTGCCAGGGTTCCATTTTGGACCCCTATTTTTGAGCCACCCAAATTCTATGCGGGTTGTAACATGTTCCCAACCGGGCGCCCAACTGAAAAATCGACTATGTTGGAAGGATATCAGCTGTGGATCCAGCAAGTCGTGTGCTTCTTTGGTTCTGCTTTGCAAGCCGTGGATGTGTCTGGCAATCTTCCACAACTGCCACCACTCGCACTATCCCAGCGAACGCAGCTGGTCTTTGTCTCAGAACTGTCTTGTCTTTTTTCGGAAAGAACCTCTTGCGAGAGACATCTGCCGTGACAAATGCGGCTCGCCGTTTTACAGCCTTGTCACCTTCTGACAGCCGTGAAGTCGGCGGAGAATCGTCACATTAATTCTACCCAAGCCCAGACACGGTGTATTCGGTTCTGAGAGACCAGACTGTCCGCTCTGCATGTTGCAAGTTGCGAGTCCCATGGATGCTTCCAAACATGAGCCCTCAAGCATTTCTGGGTTCTTGTGGTCTCTGTGAGCATCAAACTTGCTCTTGGAATGTGGGAATGACTCCTATAAACCATCCAACTGGTTGCTTCCTTTCATTGACCAAACCAGCCCAGGAAATCCCCAAAAAGAAACCACAAGGGATGGTTTAGGCTTATCCCCTCATTCCCTGCCTATCGCACCATCAAGGAAATCCATCCCTTCCCTGGGTTCGTTCCAAATTCCCCTGATCGCAGCAGATTGGCAGCCCACCTTCTTTCTTCCAGCTGTGCGCCCGGGCGAGAGATTGGGCAGCGTCGCGCCGGCCGCGCGCATCTGACGACGCGTTGCCGGTGAAAGCTTTGAGCGGTCAAAAACTGGCGGGTGTCATCCCTTCTTTTCCCACGAGGACATGGTTTTTTGTGGAGAGCCCCCAGCAGGAACCAAGGGGACCGTGCAAAAACAGGGCTGGAAACTGGCTGGTTTCGTTGCTATGATTGGGATCGACTGGGATGGGTGTAAATTGAAATTTGGGGACGCTTTGGTGGACATGTACATGAGCTCGGGTCACAATGGCCGTGGGTGTCCCCTGCGACGATACCAAGAGCTGAGACCTGAACACAAAGGAACGCTCACTGTGTCCAAAACAATCGCGATCTTTTGGGTTGACTGCGTACAGAAAGCTTCCAGGAAATCGTCGCCCGTTGAAAGCGCTGCCCGTTGAAGGGTCCAGCTCCTTTTGACTCCTGGATTCTAGCAAGGGGTCCTAGGACTAGGATCCTGCACGCATCCCTCAACAGGTTAACCTTCAAAGAGAACAAGAAGTACACCAGCCCCTTCTATGCCGCGTAAATGACTGAACCAACCTGAGGGAATGGTCCCATTTTGCTCTCACCCAACTACAAACACCCCATCCAGCCCACTTTGGGGCTCTTGCAAGCGCGCCTCCCAGTTGTTGACCCCCGGAGTCAGCAAAGGTCCACCGGTTTTTTCCAGGGCGCCCTTGTTGAGGTCGGTTTGAGGTGGAAAGTCGGTTACTCGCCCCCCATTTTGGCAGGGGCTTTCCCGGAATCCAGGTTCTTGAAAGGGAAACCTCGGCTCCCAAAGAGAAAAGGAACATTTGTGCTTGACTTTAAACGGAAATCCCCTCCAAAAGCCAAGGACCCCAAGAAGAGAAACATGAGTTTCACCCCAGAAAAGCACCCCATTGCCTTTTCCCAACAGCTGCCCCTCTCCCGCCCGCTTCCCCCCCCCCCCCATGCGCCCGCCTGCCACTCCCGCTTCGCTTGCTCGGCACGGAGCCGCACACAGCTGCCCTGCGGCAAGTGCTGGGCCTAGGGGCGGGAGCATGGCCAGCGTAGTCGGTGAGCCCAACAAATTCAAACTGGCTGCGGCTCACGAAAAATGGCACCTTGGCAAATGGAAACAAGGACTCAAACCTGCGTAGCTCCTGATTTTTGAGCAACACCCAAATGAATTTCGGTCTTCCTGTTGGCTTCTTTTTAGTTTCATGTTGGTTTCCCTCTTAGTTTCACGGTGGTTCCCTTTACAACCTCAATGGCACACCCTTTGGTGCAGGAGAACCACGCAAAAAAAAACGTCGCCATATTAGGGAACCGATCCTGATCAGAAGCTGCATCCAAATCGGGAAAAAGGAACCATGGAGTCAGCAAGGTAAGGTGGTGGGGGGGGGACAGCGGCGGATGGAAGGAGGAGCCCTTTATGCTTGTCCAGTTTGTGCGCACACACACACACAACTGTTTCTTCTTGTTTTGGGGCCGATGCCGGGGGGGCAGGGTACAACAAGCTCACCTTGATGTAGGTCCTCTACCTGCGAATGCCTTGCTTCAGGCTGTGGAATTATTGCAAACAACACCAATCATTAGGGTTCTTTCCATTTTTGTTTCTTTGTTTGCAGGTTGTTCCGGGAAATTGGCTCACTTCAATTATTGAAAATTTCCACCACTGCTTTTGCTTCGCCTTCGCCCCTCGCCGCCCCGGCCCACTTTCAGCTCCCCGGCCAGGCGCACGCACTGCTCGTGCAGCGCCAGCAGCTGGCGCCAGAAGTCCACCTCCTCCGGCCTAAGGCAAATGCCATCCCGGTGGCCTACGTGAGTTGGTCCCTGCAGATTCAGGAAGTCCAAAAAGGGGGGAAGGTTTGCCTGAGAAACTCGGGCCTTTGGTGGCAACCGGGCCGTTTCCTTCTACCTTTTTGACTTGCGAAAGCGCGATTGGCGCGGTGGATGTGCAAAAACTGTGGACCTGGTCGACTCTTTGCGGCTCCGGCGGTTCTGCGCGAACCGCAGGATGCACGACATAGCCAAACACACGAGAGCACAAGTCGAGCGCGCATGCAGAGCAGGATGCACGAGAGCCCACGCATGTCTAGAGCAAGAAGCGTGAGAGCATGTGCAGAGTAAGTTGCACGAGACAACACGCGCAGCAAACTGCACGGCAAACTCGCACGTGCAGCACACTCGCACGAGCACACTCGCACGAGCATGCTTGCACATGCACACATACACGAGCAAACTCGCACGAGCACACTTGCACAAAAAGACTTGCATGAGAGGTTAAAATAATCTTTTAAGGCTGCGCGGTGGGCTTGCCACTCTACGACAATGACACCCTCTGCAGGGATGGGCGTGGTCGATGTGCACAAACTGAGACATCTTACCTTTTTGTGGTTTCCGGTCGATGTCAAAAATTGTGGATCTTGTTCTACTTCTGCGCCTCCTGCACGACTCCCCTTCTGCAGGGATCCGTGTGGTCAATGTGAAAAAACTGGAGTGTTTTGCAACTCTTTGCGGTACTTGCGTGGAGAACGATGAGAACGAGCAATTTGCGCAAACATAGTTGTGCAGAGAGCTTGCGCAAAAAAACTTGCACAAGGCCCTTGCACGCGCAGAGAAACATTCACCGACAGCTTGCCAGGAGAACTTGCATCAATATCTTGCGCAGAGAAGATTGTATCGAGAACTTGGGTGCAGAAGAAGTAGACAAACTCGAGCAGTGAAATTTGAGCCGCAGAGACACAGAGCGCTTGGAGCAGAGATATGTGAGCCGAGAAGTTACGCACAGAAACTTGCAGAGACAACTTGCTCAGAAAAAAATGTTCAGAGAACTTGAGAGAAACTTGCTCAAACACAGTTGCTCAGAGAACTTTGCTCAGCACAGAAACTAGCAGAGTGAACTTGGGCAAAGTACTAGCGCAGAGCACACGCTTCGCTCACTATATGTTATGCTTTCGTGCCCCGGGTCTGTATGGTTGGCGCTCTTCGCTCCGCTGAATCACCACTGCCCATTGCGTGTGAAGATGTGAAACTGAATAATTGATTGGCCCTCCCAAACACCAAACTGATTGACATAGCACAAAGTTGCCTCAAAAGCCTCCCAGATTGAGGTTGCTTGCTTGAACAGCTTACATTGGGCTCGGAAAGGTTTGAACCAATTTGGGGAAAATGAGCTTGGTTCCGTTGCATGCTTGGCAATTTCAATACAAGTGTCATTTCAGTGACAATCGCGCGACAGCCTGTTCAAGCATGTGAACCTCACATCCCAAAAAACGGCACAAGTCAGTTGCAGAAGCTATATGCCTTTATTAAAACATCATACGGTCAAGGTCAAGGATAATGTGTTGGATATGTTGTTAAATTGCTTTTGTGCATATCTGGACCAACGGGTCATGTCGGGGTCTTTTCTTGCGCATGTCTTTCCAGGCTACTGATGACAACATCAGGATTTGCAGCATGTGTCTACTGCGTATGACTTAGCACATGTCCACAATGAGAAATCATGAGTGGTACTGCCAGTAGATGCGCACATCAACAAATCGCATGCCCGAAGGGCTGCACAAATACACCTGAGTTGGAATAGCTCGCGAAGCAACACCAAGACAAATACCGGGAAACAGAAAACGACCCTCAACCCCTAAAAACTCAAGAACAAACAGACACCCAAGAACACACAGTCTCGAACAGGGTCCAAAGGCCCAACAACCTTAAGAGAGCAACATAAAATCAACTCGTGCATGTTCAGGGTCAAAACATGATCGCTGACATTGTCTTGTTTGTTATTGGGCAGAGTGTTCAAGAATGTATTTGGACTGCTGCATCCTGTGTGACACTGTGAGTAACATGTCAAATATCTAGGAAAATGTACTGGATGTAAAATGATATTCAAAGCTGGTTCCCTCTTTTCAGGTGTGTTCTCTCAAGTATCGCTCACTGCGCTTTCAGCCTGTCGAAAGGACACGCACAAATCCAGTCCACGCCGCGTCTTTGGCTTTGAGCTGCCAACTCCAAAAAAAAAAAGGCAAAACGGCACCACGCCCCACACATTCCCACCCACCCCAGGCACCACCCCACACCACCCCACACCAAAACCACCCCCGCCCCGATTTCACCTGGGTGTTGGCTCTCAAGGCATTGGGCAACCCGCGCCCGGTAAACTCCATCTCCACCGCCTGGCACTGCCGCGCCTGCACCTCGGCGCGAGCCGCCCGCCCCGCGCGCGCGGAAGAGCGCCACCCCCCCTTGTCCCTCCCCCCCTCTGCGGCTCCGGGAAAAAACAAAAAGGGCCAAAGGGGGCCATCAAGAAAGTGAGGTGAAAAAAAAACAAGAAGAAGAACTAGGGGTTCAGCGCCCAAAAGCGTGCGTGTACGTGCCCGTTTCATGGTGTGGGAGGGTACTTCCCCCTGCACTTTTCACATACCCCCAAAAAAAAAATCCTCCAAAGCTGGCAGCTTTCCGGAGTCCGTGAGAATCTGGGCGAGGGAAACATGCGGAATCTGCTCAAGTCGTGGCTTGGCCCATCTTGCTTTGATCCGGGACAAGTCTCCGCTAAATGGGCTTCATAGTAACGTTGGAAGAGCTTCAGAGGCGAAATGCTGCGCAAGATACAGCGAAGTCCCGGTTCATTTGTTTGTCACCACTTTGCCAGCTCCATGTAAAAAGTTGATTCATATATATATATATATATATGTACATTCATCGATTTACATGCGAGTCTGTTTTCTCCAAGCTATCCATGTATCCGTTTATCCGTGTCTCTACTTGTTGTCCAGCTGTCTATCTATCTATCTACATATCTACCTACCCACCTATCTATCCACCAATCCTCCTCTCTCTCGCTGTCTGTCTGCGTGCCTACCTGTCTGTCTGCCTCTCTATCGACTTACCTACGTATCTACTTGTAATGCATTTGCATACGTTTGTTGTACTCGTGCATTTGTTTGTGTACGCACAAGTGGACTTTAACGTGTGTGTGTGTGTATAATGTTAAAAAACAAAAAAAGCAACCACCCACCCACCCACACCCACACCCACCCCAATATTATTGTTTGTGACGATGGGCTAAAAAACTCTAAAACTTCAGACTTGTCTTGTGCTAGAGAAAAATAAAATGACATAGTGAAAAAAGCAGTAATTACAAGGCAAATCCTATGTCCAAAGGAACACGAAATCAAAATAAACATTATGATTGAAACATATGCTTGTTCTATTCTACTTAAATTTGTGTTTGCTTAATATTACAATCACATTTGGAAAGGAGAACATATTCAAGTTCTAATGCAAAAAGTAGATTTATAATTCAACTGGGTTTCTCATTTAAAAACGACGGCCACATTTGATCTGAATCATATATATATATATATATATGGGAATGAACTCCTACGTTAAGGAAATGTTGAAAAGCCAAGTGAATTATTATATTAATCTTTATTGCAATTCAACTTAATCTTAACTCCTCTTTGGAGAGGAATGTTTATTTGAGGTCTAGCTGAACACAGAATGTCGGGTGAACTATGTCCTTTCCAAATTCTATGCACAATTCGAATTCAATGGACAATGCGGACGACACCGGGCTCAAAATTGCAAGCCTATTACTTGCGCAAAGGATTCAGATCTCCAAGGTCAGAGGTCCGAGTCCTGCAATCTATCCAAACAGTATTTCAAGTCTACTGGGACAGGAAAACATATTTCACTCTATCTCACCAGGAGGTAGTGGAGATGTGGAAATGGGGGGGAGCATATGTTGCATATTTCTATGTGTATATATATATATACATATATATAAATATATATCTACAAATAAAATAAATACTGTCAATTTCAGTGTTTGCCTTGGAAAGCGTCGAAATGAGCAGCTCACCAACAAAACTTGAAGGTGTTTGTAAAAAAAATCGACAGGGTTGCTAAACGTTCAACGTATTTTACCACTAGATTCAAAAAAATCAAGATATCTTTAGCCTCGGAACCTTGAGACCTCCAGCGACTCAATAGCTGGTTTTCCTTTTGGCTTCTCTTTCTCTGCAACCTTACCCTCTAAACAACTCATAGCAATGTTGCCCCTCAAAAAGTTCATTCCCTCACTCCCGAGCACCCTGGGGATTCCGGTAAAGGAACCACAAGGATGGTTTATAGGGGGTCTCATTCCATTTCTCATGCAAGAAGAAAACCCCCGCATCCGGCTTAGGCCCATCAACGCTTTGAGACCCAAACCGCCAACTCAATGGCCCGGTGCAGCACCTTCCGTGGCACCTGGGAATGTTTTGTGCTATCGGCGAGCTCGGGCGAGCGGGGCGTTTTCGAGATGCGCGAAAAGCACAGGGCTCCAAACATGGTTCCCTTTTTCTTCATCTCCTAGAAAACCACATCAAAAGTGGTTTGTGGATATGCATCCCCGCCTAAATTGAATGTCCACCAAAGGGTCCCCTATGGGCTGCTCCCCTAGTTACTTTTTTTAGCGGGTTACATATGGAAACTACCACTACACCAACTACTAGCCTGAACACAAATGGAACCCGATGGCTGGGAGCCACCAAGTTAGGGAAACCTGCTCAAAGAGTCAGCCAAATGGAGCACCCCGACAAAGATAAGCAACACTGTACACGGCCAAAAACACACGCCAGACCGAAATCCCCAAGTTGTCTCAGATAGTGCTTACCTTCCCAGCAACATGGCTTGCACCCCGACCCCTACGGTTCGAGTCATGCTTGGCAGCGGCAGACTGCAGAATGCTCAGAATGCAGACGGAGGGTCCAGGATGGGTTTTGGGATCAAGTATGTGCATCAGCCGACTGGCAAGGCGCCCAGCTTGTTACATTAGAGACCCATACGACAACAAGTTGTGGCCCTTGCCTGTCTCACTGCCCTTCCGCCTGATTGGCCTTTCCCCATCCAGGTTCTGCCTGATGTCAACAACCCCAAAAGACTTCAAGCGTCCAGCCGAATACAGCCAGTCAAACTTCCAGACGTCAACGACCCAATCCACCCACAAATCGCAATGCTACGGCGCCTGCTCGTCTGCCTCCTTGGCATCCTGCCGCGCAACGAGCGGAAACCGGTCCAAATCGACCTCCTCTTTTGGGAACAACTGCCTTGGCAAGCCAAAAGTGCTCCTTGGGGTTGTCTTCCCCTCTCTTCGGTCTTTTGCAAAGGGACAGTTTCCAGGACCCACCACTCAGTTCCTTTTCCAACCGCAAGTCCAAGGCCTACATGGGCCAGTGTATGGATCGAAGGCTTCAAGGGCATGTGTCAAAATAGGGGGCCCCTGAAAATGGTGGTGGTCTTTTTGGTGTCCCTTTCAAGCGTGACAACGGCACCCGTAGAAAACACACACCCATGCACATGAGCATGTTTTGAAACAGCCTTTCGCATTCAAGGGAGTCGCATGTTTTCGCCAGGAAGCTGATGTTCCGAGTCCGATCAGGACGTTTCTCCAATACTAGCGGTATGACTTCAAATGCTTTTGGCTTCACTACAATCCCATTCAGAAGCTCCTGTTCGGATTGCCTTTGGCTCCCATGTTTCCGAAAGTTTCAACTACACTCCAATGGTCAAGGGCCAAGATACGGAACACCCTTTTAACTTTCGCTGGGGAAACCGCCTAACTCCACTCCAACAGGAACCAACTTGCGTCGCTTTGGTCCGTTCGGTGCCCTTTTTTGGCCCTCCCAAAACACGAGAAGGCTCCCCTCTTCCAAATTGAAGCTGTTTGGCGCATCTTCGGCAATCCACTGAACCCCGTTTCGGAAAACCCACCGGGAACCCGCCCCCCCCCCGTGTTTGATTTATATTTTGATCTCCATGCAACCCCCTTTTTCTTGTACAAATGCGATAGTGACATGAAAGGACTCTTTGCTGGCCGCTTACAGTGAAACACAGTAAACGAGAGCCACCAAAAAACTATCCATTCTCTTGCACTCCATAGTGGCATATTGGATTTCCTGCGGAATAGATCCAGGGACCACATATACGATCCTCTACTACCACAAGGTATCCGTTCCCTTACCCTTATCCTGACCTTGGGGGCATATCCGGGAGTCGAACCCGGTTCCTCTAGAATGGTTTTCCGCGAAGATCCAGCCAGGAGCAATGTCATCCGACCGCCATTGTACGACGCGAAAGTCGGCTGGTTCAGGTATGAAGAACTCGTAGATGATTGGACAACCTTCACCTCTCCTCAAGAGCAGACTCATTGGAGATGCTTACATGTACAAGGCAGTCCTCCAGAACGATCGTTTGCAAGATCCTGAAGAAGGAGTCAACTACTTCAAGAACACGCTGAAGCAGTACTTCCTGAAGGGTACCACGAACGTGTATCTTTACAGGCTCCTCTTTCCTTTCTTCAATCACAGGAGGCAAAACTTCCTCATATTTACATCAAAGATCGAAATTCTTCTCAATGCAGCCTGGATGGAGCTGATGCCCGTATACACGGCACAGTCTCCAGAATTTCGACAGTCAATACATGAAGCAAACCAGAGAAACCTGGCTCGACATCAGCAAGCAGCCGGCGCCAGAGCCCCGCCTCCTGCTGTACTCCAAGAGGACGACCCAGTAGTCCTGAGACAATTCATTCAGGGAATGCAGCAAAGACAACGGGACGCATTTTTATTCGGGGATAATCTCATAGCGCAGTTTTTCATCATCCAGAGCAAGCTGTCAGACCAGCAGAGAGAAAGGCTGACAAGCGCAATGTCTCTGAGAAACATCACACTAGAGAATTACACCTACGAGATGCTGAATGACGCACCACGCAGATGGTGGAACATCCTAGACTCGGCACTCCGTTCTTACGGACTGGTGCCAACCAGGGCAGATCGTTGTACATATGTTTACTACGCTAAGCAGCTTCCAAAACCCACGTCGATCAGTGAGAAGAAACCATCCAACACATTTGATGTAGAAGGAGCAGTTGATTGCCTCATGGATCCAGTTTCCGGTAACAACGCCAAGAATCGACAAGTTCATGGAGCACTGTCTCTTCATGCGGATGATCTTCTTATATGGTTGGGGACGATGTGTTTGAGAAGGAAATCACGGGACGACTTCGCAAAGACTTTCAAGTCGGTTCCGAAGACAAAAATGATTGCCTCTTGGTAGGACAACGCATCCAATGCAAGCGTGACGACAAGCACGCTTGGTACATCAATCTCCATCAGAACGTTGCCATTGACGAACTTCGCACAGATTCGCTGACCAAACACTCAGCCAAAGCAGACGAGCTCATCAAGGCCGTCCTGACACGCAACCTCTTGAATGTTGACGCACATCCACCTTTGCGTACCATGTTGCAGAACAAGGCATTGTGGTTGAATGGCTAGCACACAATTCAAAACACGGACCCAACATCACTGCATTCGCAGGAGTCGGTATGGCAGAACCCATCTTTGCTTTCTGGGAAACCTGGGCATGACCAACATGTCCACGAATTCCGATGCATGAAATTTTCATTTTAGTAGTTTTCAATTCCTCAATTCCATGATGAGTCTTTCGCATTTGACCGTTCTTGAATCTCAAGAGATATGTGTCTGCGTCCGCAGCCAATTCGGTTTACAAACCATCCAGCCATTCTGCGATTGTGCATGTCATATCATCTTGCTGATACGCCACTCTTCAGCAGTCTCAGCTCGGCGGCCCCTTTGCCGAAGCCAGCAGTAAGGCGAGCATCCCCTCTGAGGGAATCTCCGGTCCGAAAGGCCGATGAGGAAGATGATGAGTCATCCGATTATGTCACGGAGGAGATCAAGGATGAACAATCCGCACGATCCAATCTCCCGGAAGAAGATGACATCAATATGGAGCAGGCTGACTATGAGCGTGATTCCGAAATCGAGGAAGAAAAGAATCCAACACATCTACCTCTCGAGGAACGACCGAAGTCAAAGGCTATGCCCATGCAACCTTCAGTGCCTCCACTGAAGCTAACACCAAAGATCAAGGCGCAGCCCAAGAACGACATGGACGAGGAGACCGAATGCCAAGGCTCCATCCCTTGACAATTGGAGATGGATCACGGATGAGTACTGAAGAACTGCCATCCTGCTCTTGAGGGGGAAACCATCAATCCAGGACCTTTCTGGAACACTCGATTCCTGTCCATTGTGGAAGAGGACTACCATGAATGCTCCACCATCTGTGACATCCACCAGGGCTTCAACTACGTTCCTGAACACGATAGAGAGAGGAAAAGACACGCTGGCTCAAGGCTCGCTTGGATGACTACTGGTGTCCGACATTTTACAGGGATCGATCAGTTGCAGGAAAGGCATACATGGAGTATACCGAGAAGACCTACAGTATTTGCTGTCATCTGAACGAGAATCCACAAGGTTATGACACCGATGTCATCCCACTGGTATGCCGCAAACATGGGTCGGACGAGTACTACTCCATCGAGGAACACAGGGCGAAACAGATTGTTCATCTCATCCTCTGGAGAGTTGAGAGAATGAGCAGATTGTTTTCCGGATGCCTACGACATGATCCACGGGAAGAGAGCAAAAGAGCCATGAAGCAGGAGTTCAAACTCAACCTCGACGGATCCTTCAAGCTTTTCGAAGCATTGACCCCCATTACCCGTGCGAAGAACTTCCTGGGAAACAAACCAGGCATATTCTTGATGACGATGTTTCCGAATTATGGGAAGTCCCGCTTTGAAGTAGCTTGTGCACCCATCCTTCGATGGAACATACGAGCAACACCAGCAGAAAAACAACATTGTTCCCAGAGAACGATGGATCGATTGTCTGAAATCCAATACCGCTCATCGCGCACTCAGGCCAGATGGTAAGACATTCAGCAAGGATCCGGACATGGAGCTGTATGTGAGATGAGTCATTCACGGCATGTCGAGATCAAGTCCATCGGACGCCCGCTTTGGTCTCAGCAGCAGGAATACAAGAAGGCTGAGCCATCCTACGACCTGCCATCCTCATCCTCTCACAAGAAGCAGGATCATCTAGATGAAGAACCAGCGCAGCCGGGATACAGGATGCGACGACCTGCACCTCCATCCATTGAACAGGAAAGAAAGATTAATCCTTTCTCGAAGATTCCTGTCACGTTCATGTTCCATGCGACCTATGGAAATCAGTTGGGGAGCATCCTGGATCAGGGAATCAGGACAGGAGCGAGTTCAACCCCACGGGGGTTGAATTCATGTTCACCTTGCCATCATCGTCGACGACGAACCACCCGAGGCAGCACTGACTCATGTGCCTGCAGGACGTGACGCACTCGTGACCCTTGCCTTTACCAAGAACAATCCTACTCTTTCCGACTCTCCGAGGAACGAACTGTACTGACAGAGCATACCATTAACACCTTAGATATCATTGCAGCGTTTGATGCAGATGGTCAGATCCTACAGTTCAACTATCGGATCCTGAGGAGGAACTTCAGCAAGGAAGACAAAGAGATGTACGAGACCAAGATCACGGAGTTCGCTGACCACTTTTTTTCGCACACGTCAATACCAACAAGACAAACAAGAACCAGAGAAGGAGTCATCCATCAAGACTAAGAAGTGACGGCATTCCACGGATCAAGATGAAGAAGAAGAAGAGAAAATGGAACCTACGGAAGAGAGAACCGTCAAGCAGAAGGTCATCCTGGAGCTCCACAACCCGGACAATCTATCACGATCCATCAAGAAATTCGCGGAAGTCACTGTGGACCGGAACATGAACAAGATCGATGCAGCGAAGAGCTCAAGACAAATCAGGACAAATTCAGAGATTTCATGGCAAGGTACAATGCCAATTCAAGGAATGTTTATCCAGATTTGAATGAAACTGAGCTGGAATCCTTGGCGCATGTGAACCCCGACGCCAACTTCGATGAGGAAGAGTTTTACTTCCGTCACCAGCACGGCTTCTCGACAAGGGAGGAGCACAAGGCAGCACAGGAAAAGTCAAGGTATCCAATCAGACTTCTGATTGGACTGAAGAAGTTGAGGCACGATGATGATACGGACCTCATCAAGTCATTCACGGACATCCTTGGATCCCTGACGCAGCCGACAGATCGCCCTTCTGTTGATCACCTCGCGTCACATGAGTTCACTTCATACTTGACGCTCAACATGCTCACCTTGAATAACGGAAACCTCCCGAGGAATCCGAAGTTGGACAGCCGGGAAGTGAAATACATGTCGATGAAGGAAAGGCCACTCATCATGATGATGTTGCAGAACAGTGACCACATCATTTGCCTCAACAAGGCCGATGCCTGCCTTTATCCGGAAGATGAGAAATCCAAGGACCTCATCAAGCTGTTCATCAAGTTCGGCTACAAGGGCATCGCTCTCAAATCCTAGTCAGCAAGACGAATCGCATGCTTTGTCCGCGGCGGAAAGCAAGCCAGAGTCGAGCTAATACTGGGGGTACGACATTCGGAATGTTCAGATGCTATTTTGGAGTCAAGAAGGACTGCACTGATCCCGACTACGACATTCCCACATCCGACTGCTTGGCAACCACCGGACCGGACATGTTCGTCTATCAGCAGAAGCACATTGGAAGGAGATTGCCACCACGCACTAAAGTCCAAGGACATGGCAAGAACAGAAGGGAAACTCCATCCACAGCCTTCGACAGTCGACACGTCACAAGGGCAGACCTCCCATTCGCAACCATGGGCGTGTTCCATGCTCATCCGACCATCGCCCATGGCGCAGCACGGAAGATTTCCAATCAGCAATCACGTCACCGAGTACCAATGCGATGCGGTTACAGGTGATGCGAATAAAGTCCGCCAATACCTACAGCAAGCTTCAAGACGTC